AACACTGTGTCCTGATTCATTCCTGCAGCATTAACAGAAATTCTGACTGGGTCAGCAAGTAACTGTTAAGGATGGAAAGCCTGTGCTGGGCAAAACTCTCATGCCTGTTGGTTTCACAAGTTTCTCGAGGCCTGTAAAATGGCTGGCCGCTTTCGGGCCCAGCACCAATCACTGACCTGTTCAGCTATGGCTGAGAGAGAAAAGTGAAGAAGACCAAGCTTGACCAACTTCTTGCTTTGTTCTGATGAGGGTTTAGAGTGTAGCAAGCCCTTACAGGGCCATCTAGTAGACAATGGTCCCATCCAACCTATGACCAATAAATTCAATCTCATACTAAGGATCCAAGCACCTCTCATTGAAATATAAATGATTTACAACATAAAATTGCAAAGGGTTAAGACTAAAGATGATGATGGGGGAGAGCAGAGGAGGTATCCTACAGGAGGGCAGTGACAGAATCCTGAGCACTGGTAGAGAGCTGGCCTCACAAAGCAATGTGTCCTTCACAGAACTGAAGAAGGGGGAAAAAGACAGAATTCATGCATGATGATTTTTCTCTCTTTGGTAAAGCTAGAGGAATAAAATACCAATAGTTATAAGATGAGAGGGATTAGGAGCTTCAGGATAACAAAGGAAGTTTGGAAAAGCCATCGTAGGCAACATCTAAGTGGACAAAAGACTGATTAAAGGAAAAGCACTGCCAAATACAGGGCTCAAAAGTTCTAGTAATACCTTGATAAGCACCATTTGTAGAAAGTGAAGTCAGATGTTCTCCAGCTAGTCAAAGCACAAATAGTGAGTAGAAACTTAAAGTTAAGAGGTGAGATCAGGTAGAAGTCAAAGACTCTAGGCTGTTACTAGTAAGGGGATCTACCACATAAACAAAACAGAAATCTAATAATGAAAAGATATGAATGGAATCTGCACCTGAGAATTTAGTAAAGTCATTCACAATTGGATATAACACACACACTAACAAAAGAATGAGAATAATTCCCTTCCACAGTTTAGCGTGCCTACTCAGGAAGGAATTAGATGTCAACTCTAAAAAGAACTCTTCATGTATAATTTATATGAAGCATGATACTTAGTTATGTCTCATATTTGGTAAGGATGTATACATCTTACGTAATGTGAATGCTTTAGCTTGGAACTTTTTGTTAATTGTCCTAAGCCATTACTTATTTGGAGGGGAAAGAGAACCAATCTTTCTGCACATTCAGTACATGTCAGTTCCAGTGTTGGTGTTTTACATATATTAATCTTACTAATCCCTCTAATAGTCCTATGAAATAACTGTCAGTAATTTATAGTTGAGAAAACCAAATTTCACAGAGGTTAAATAATTTGCCCAAGAATATAAAGTAAGTCTGACTCCAAAGTATGTGTTCTCTCCAGCAAGTCCCACTGCAGAGCTGAACAGGGAGCCATCAAGTGACTTCTCTTTCCTGGCGCCAAAAAGTTTCTTAGTTTACATATGATCTCACTACATATATGTATAGACTTATAAATATTTTTAAATATTCAAGAATTTTTTCCTATGATTAAGCATTTTGATTAGTTAAGAGGTGCTGTTACAGAATATACCTTCAAAGGGAATAAAGGAGTGTGTGGATTCTACTTGTGGAAATTTAGGCAAGCTTTTCAATCTCTTCTTTGGACTCGTTTTTTTTAAACCTATCAATAGTAAAATGAGGGCTTTGGACTAGGTAGTGTCTAGGTTCTATGTGACTCAAGTCATCATTCAAAATTCATTCATTCAATAGACTGAAATTAGGCACTATTTTATGTGCTGGGAAAACAGCGGTCAATGAAGTTAAAAATCTCATGTAATTTATATGCTCTAATCTTAAGATAGTAATTCTCAAGGTGGTGAGGAGTGTAAGTGGAACAAAATTTCAAAATCGCTTATGGAATACTTTTTTCAGAGTATGCATGTACCACATCCAAGATCCACAGTCTACTCCCCAGGAAATAGGCCTTGTGGGGAGCCAGAGATATCGATAAGCATTTGTGGTATCTTTCTTATAAGGCTGGTAGAAAAATGCTTGAGAATGAGTGTTCTGTCATACAGTATAAAGAGATGCACGTCATACTGCTCTATCTGTAAGTGTGACGGGAGACTCATTAAGAGACCCAATTCTAAGCTTAAAGAAAGTTGTAAAGTGCACTTGAATGAAGAGTCCCTGATTAACGCCTATGAACATTTGTACCAGTCAGAGAACAGAAATATTACAATGCTTACCCATGTTATTGTTGGCCATGATCTCTCATGTTGAAATCATGTGTAAAATCACTTGGTTAAAAACACAATCCTCCTGATAATGAATTTTAATACCCCAGGCTACAACCAGTTTTCTGTATTTAAATACAAACAAACAAGCAAACAAACATTAATGATGTCACAGCATTTTGGTGATGAAAAGCCTGTGCGCTGATTCTTCTTTCATGTTCTAAGAATCACAATGCAAAATCTGAAATGTTGGAAAGGTTTTAAAAATGTATTCCCACTCCCCTCAAATCTAACAGTTACACCTAAAGTTTATGCTACAGTAAATAACAAAATTACCATAGAAATGTGCATGACTTGAAAATTTGAAAAAACAAACAAAACCAAACCCACTCCAGGTTTAACACTGTCAGTCATAGAACGTTTTATTTTAAACTTGCCGTTCAAACTTTCAAATACGATACATGTGGCAAAGAAACAACAGTTAACACACAACATCTGCCACAATTCTATCTTTGAACTGTCTTTTCTATATTATGTGCTATGTTACAATTTCTTTCAATTTCTTACATTCATTGTATTCTTAAAGGCAGCAATGTCAATTTTTCTGCTTTGAAAACAGTTCCATTAATGTTCTGAAATTACTTAAAATGACAACTTTTTCCTCTTAGTATTCTACTGCTGCCATATTAGTGACATAATTCAACATATTATTAATACGATGTTGAGAGGTACACTGTACTTAATAAATCAACTCCCAACTCCAAGTTGAAATGAACTTCAATCAAAAAACAAGCATTTTCCTAAATCAGTTTACCCAGCTACTTTTCTCAAAAATATTTCCATTCTGAAATAAGGTTTTTTTTGTGAGATACAATAGTTTCATTTTTATTCCTAACAGAACTCATGCTGTACTTTTTCTCAAAATATATTCAATATATTCTGTGCAAAATGTTAAGTTCTGTATAGGTATGTACCTTATCTTGAAAAAGTTTATAAAATATAATTCCTAAAAACAACCTCAACATTAGACAATAGAGGAAGAATAAACATATCAGACAAAGCCTAATTTTTCACAGGAGAAAATAAGTATGTTCTTAAAGCTCCAGTAATACATTCCTTGAAAAAACTCAGAATGCACTTTGGTCATTATTAAACATATTAGAACACAGGCAAATAAAACAAAATGTTTTTGTTTTCTATACAAAGAAAATATACTATACAATGAGGCTGATTTGAGGCTGATCAAAAGGAATGGTGAGAACAAAGTGATATTATGATATGGCTCTGTTCTCCACACATTCCTGATCTTAAGATTAAGATTTGGGGATTAAAACTGCACCAGTCAAATAAATCATTTACAATTAATTATTTTAAATTCCCTAAAACATGGTAAAAAAAGGTGAGGATATTCAACATGATACAACTTGCACCAAGAAAATTCTAGATTGTTTCAAATAAAGTCTTTTAAAAACTAGACACCCAGTTTAAAAAAAAAGTTTGCTAAAACATTTCATATTTCATATAACTCCTAAAATTTGATTGTACAAATATAACAACTTAAAATCAAGGCCCAATGTAAGATACCATCATATTTGCCCTATTTACCTAACATGCCAACAGATAAGTTCTCATTTGGACACTTGGCAAATTATTTGGAAGGGAGGGAGGGGGTTACTTTCTAGGTTAAAAGCATCTAAAATAGCCCTTATATAATTGCGAGTTGAGGAGGGAAATGTACGAGATAGCAGAATTTGCAAGCTGTCGCTATTTTTCCTGAAAACTCATATATAGTTTTACAGCTAGCAATCAGGAATATTTGATTAGTTCTTAATGTTATTCTTAAGTTGTTCATTTGAGTGTGGTATGAATAGCATACACTATAGTGTACCATGGGGAGAAATTATTTTACTTGAGTAAACATAACATACTTGAGTAATATCAATAGGCACTTCACTTGTGAGATGAGTATATACCTCACTCAAAAGGATACCATATCATGCCCTAGTACACTATAACATATCCCATATAAAGACACGCATTAAAAGTAACAATTTTAAAAAGTGCACATTTTGAGCATGCACAGTTGGAGCTGTGCAAACAGCCCAGTGTTTCAAATAAATACAATTATTACTAGTTAATTTTTATCAAAATATCTTACAGTATGGTAACCATTTACAATTATTGCTCTATTAAGAGTTTTATCATCAAAGAGCACTTGTTGACCTGTTGTGTAATACCATAGATATTAATACTGAAGGGTGCTTAAACTGCAGCTTAATCAGTTTAGATCCTGGCATTGTTCCAAAATAACTCAAAAGAAACCTGGACTGGATCTTGATTTACTGAAGAAAAATGCTTTATGTGTTTAGCTGAGTCTGATGCAAGATGACAAAGTTAAAGAAGTTTACTTCAAGTAAGGCAAGTCACGGCATTGATGGAGAAACAGTGTTTAGCAATGGCTTCTATTCTCATAATTTGTTGTCATTTTTATGAGCAATTACCAGGATCTCAAGTATCTGGACATCAGTTTCATCACCTTTTCAACAACTAAGTATATCAATGGTAAAAATAAAATATAAAGACTAAAATAAATGTAAAAAACAGTGAACAAGTGAAATAAATATAAGAATTGCACAGGACAGTCTGATGTAAACACTTCAATTTCTCAGCTGAGATTCCTGAAGCAAAGAGTCAGTGACTGCTTTCAGGCAGCTTAGTTGGTACTCTTATTCTGGAAAAGAGGCTATATCTTCTTTTCTCTGAATTGTCATGATTTAATCTTCCAGAGCTAGTGAAAAAATAATACAAATAGGGACCATTAGAGCCAGTTTTGATATTGCAACTTATTAAGTTACATCACATGATATTGTTTTTTATCTAAATTTCATTCATAAACAAGTGAAGGTTCTATTATTTTAAATTCTTTTATTCTTTTATTTTTAAGAATTCACCTCAAGCAAATAAAAAAGTGAGACTCCAATTTCTCTTGCTTTCTCTAACTGGAAAGTGACAATATACATCTACTACCGGTTAATATAAACATTCTAAACCTTATTCACTAGCAGCATTGCACATGTTGGAGGATGCATATATTGCTATATAGATAAATAATACAGCCTTTGGCCAAAGCCAATAATAGAGCTCTTTTTTTAAAAATCATCTAAATTAGATTCATCTTATATATGAGTAAAAAAATAAGCACTTCCACTTATCTTATCCAGGAGTACCATTTGTAACAAATACTGTTCTGGATGAGAAGCTCCATCAATCAGTATTATAAGCCAAGAATATTTATCATTCTTTGAAAATAAATGTTATCTTCATTAACTGTATATAATATAATCAAAATGATCCATTACTATACATGTGAGATCTCACGAGTGTAAGGGTGAAATAAACATCATGAAAATGTAACAGGGTACTAAGAAATTTAAAAATACCTGCAAGCCCTTACCTTTAAATTAAATCCAAGCAAGTCACTGATAACACCAGAAACAGCTGACAGGATGACAACCTGGGTGATGTTATAAAGCAGTGGATTCATTGTAAGTCCATATAGTCTAAAGGGACTGTCCAATTCCTAGCAGAAGAGGAAAAAACCATGAACCCAGATTCATTAAGAATTATTAGTTAAACTAATTCAGGGCAATATGCAAAGAGAATTTTTACCAACACCATTTCAAAAGACAGTTACAAATCATGATAGTCTTAGAAAGAATAAACTTGGTTAAACCTGAGGTAAGTAAATATACTTTTAGGTTTTCTTAGGAAAAAGTGACTTTCATTTAAAAGAAATCTATAACCTAAATTTGTAACTCCAATTTCTGTCCCAAACAAATGACTGATAAACTATTGGTCTGGTAGCTACAAGGTTAAAGAATATTTTTCACTATAACAACAGAAATTGAAAGAGAAAGAGAACAATATATTTTTGTATAAGAATTAGAAACTTAGCCAAATTTTCTGTCTATACACACATACATATACATACATATATGCATATATGCATTTATATATATAAAATCCCCCTTTGAGATAATTTCTAATGCATAGATTCACTAATTGATTGACTGATTCAAACATGGCAGACTCTGGAAAGTCAAGACTCAGTCCCCATGCTGAAGCACCGTGCAGTCTAATAGACAAGCAAAGAAACAATTCAACTACGAGTCCCACAAAAGAAATATGTATAAATGGCAGAGGGCCAGAGTAGAAGGTGCTCCTGCAACTTAGTGCATGGGAGGAGAGAAGGTATTCCCCAAGACACAAGAACATGGCACCTTTGAATTGCTACAGGTTGTACAAGGCAAGTATAAATTTTATAAAACTGGCTACTTAGGTAAGGGTCATTCTTTAGGCAAACTGTGACAGGAGATTGGCACGAAAGGAATTTAATTTGGGCAGTAGTATATCAGATGTGCATGTGAGAAATACAGATTAGAGAGCAGCAAGACCAGAAGGAAGAAGCCCTCAGAGTTCAGTGTATCAGAAGCTCAAGTGAAAATGATGCAGGTCTGACTTAGAGCAGTACTGGCAGGAAAAAGAGGATGAACTGGAAAATATTTGAGAGGGTAAGTCAATGGGCCCAAGAATTTCTTGGCTGTGAAGAAAGAGAAAGAAGGAGCAATCTCCCAGGTTCTGAATAGAAGACTATGTTTGATCAAAAAGGATCACACTGATGTGCTTTGTATTTTGGTTAACTTTGTATTTCTATTTTGCAAATGTAGCTGCTCACATGAAGTCTCAACTTTATAGCCTCCTCCTAGCTAGCATAGTGCCTACACTTTCAAGATACTCGACATTTATGTGTCAAAAACCCACCCAGAGCTTCCTTGGTGGCTCAGTGGTAAAAAAAATCTGTCTGCCAATGCAGGAGACATGGGTTTGAGCTTTGGTCTGGGAAGATCCCACGTGCTGCAGAGCAACTAAGCTCATCTGCCACATCTACTGAGCCGGTGCTCCAGAGCGCAGGACTGGCAACTACTGAAGGCCATGCGCCTAGGAGCCTATACTCCACAAAGAGAAGCCACCGCAAAGAGAAGACTGCTCACCACAACTAGAAAGCGGGCCCTGCTCACCACAACTAGAGAAAAGCCCACGCTGCAACGAAGACCCACAGAGCCAAAAGTAAATAAATAAACAAAAATAGAAAAGACGAAAACAAAACCCACCTAACTCTTCTGAACCCTTTCAGTGCCTAATATACTGTGAGGCACACTCTATTGTCAGTTAATGCATTTTAGCTAACTGAAGAAGTAACCATAGCATTGAGACACAACTAATTTCTTACTATTCTATGAACACTGTATAAACAACTCTAAAATTTCCATTTGTTACAGAAACAGAGATTTTAAAAAATAGTTTCAAGAAAGAAAGGAATTACTAACACTACAGTGATGATGATATTTTATTAAATTACCTCCAAAGTGGGAATACTGAACCACCTGACCTGCCTCTTGAGAAACCCGTATGCAGGTCAGGAAGCAACAGTTAGAACTGGACATGGAACAACAGACTGGTTCCAAATAGGAAAAGGAGTACGTCAAGGCTGTATATTGTCACCCTGCTTATTTAACTTATATGCAGAGTACATCATGAGAAATGCTGAGGTGGAGGAAGCACAAGTTGGAATCAAGATTGCCAGGAGAAATATCAATAACCTCAGATATGCAGATGACACCACCGTTAAGGCAGAAAGTGAAGAAGAACTAAAGAGCCTCTTGATGAAAGTGAAAGAGGAGAGTGAAAAAGCTGGCTTAAAGCTCAACATTCAGAAAACTAACATCATGGCATCCGGTCCCATCACTTCATGGCAAATAGACGGGGAAACAGAGGAAACAAGTGGTTGACTTTATTTTTTTTGGCTCCAAAATCACTGCAGATGGTGACTGTAGCCATGAAGTTACAAGATGCTTACTCCTTGGAAGGAAAGTTATGACCCACCTAGACAGCATATTAAAAAGCAGAGACATTATTTTGCCAACAAAGGTCCGTCTAGTCAAGGCTATGGTTGTTCCAGTGGTCATGTATGGATGTGAAAGTTGGACTATAAAGAAATCTGAGTGTTGAAGAATTGATGCTTTTGAACTGTGGTGTTGGAGAAAACTCTTGAGAATCCCTTGGACTGCAAGGAGATCCAACCAGTCCATCCTAAAGGAGATCAGTCCTGGGTGTTCATTGGAAGGACTGATGTTGAAGGTGAAACTCCAATCCTTTGGCCACCTGATGCAAAGAGCTGACTCACTGGAAAAGACCCTGATGCTGGGAAAGATTGGGGGCAGGAGGAGAAGGGGACAACAGAGGATGAGATAGTTGGAATGCATCACGGACTCAACGGACACGGGTTTGGGTAAATTCCGGGAGATGGTGATGGACAGGGAGGCCTGGTGTGCTGCGGTTTATGGGCTCACAAAGAGTCGGACACAACTGAGCTACTGAACTGAACTGAAAGAGTTAATATGAGATCAGATATACTGAAATTATATTATTTTTGATTGCTACCAAAAAAGCTTTGAAAATTTATTTACTGGTGATATATAATTATTATTATAGTGATTACTATAATGTATTACTACTTTTTAAACCAACTCAGGCCAAGTAAACAGTATTACTGTTTTGAGAAATACAAAATGAAAAAAAAATAGCAAATTAACACCAAATCTTCCTTTTTAAAATCTATTTTAAGTTCTAGGATGCAAAAATTTCCAAAGATGCCAACTTCTACAATATTCTAAACATTATTAAGAGTCTTAAAATTTCAAAATGAAATGATCTGAATTACTTTGATTAGTTTTTCAATGAGAAATAAAATGTAAACAGCATGAATGTGCTCAAAAATAATTTGGAAAACAATTTTGATAATCCTGAAAACCAAACACAAAGTAGGATCTACAAACAAAAAAGAAAAGTTAGAACAGCATTTTCTACATGATGTCCATTTTCATTTTCACTCTTACCTTTAGCAATTTAGTAGCCAGTTTTAAAACATTGTTCACTAGTGTCAATTCCTCCTTTTTGTTAGGTTTCTTCTCCATTTTCAAGTAGAGGTTTATCTTTTATTAAAAAAAGAATTAACAATTAAATATACTTAAAATTATAACAAATACTTATTTTTTTAAATTATAACAAATACTCATTTTTAAGAGGAGCTGAAAAACATTTGCTAAAATATTAGCAGTAATTCTCTATTATTAAGAGTATAGGTGATATTAATATTCTTCTTCACACTTAACTATATATTCCTAACTTCTTACAGCAAATATTTTACAATAAGAAAATAATATTTTTTTAACTTTTCAAATGTAACTAAAAGCTGAAAGAAGGAAAACTGGATTTCATTATTTAAAATGTGAAACCCTTTAGTCCCAGATCCAAATCAACACAGAAAATAAACAATAACTAGAGTAAAGCAAATCAGTTGGTTTGTTTCCTACTTTCCGCTTTCCCTCTAACTGACTTGGTTTGACCGGGTTACCAATTTCTAAAAATCAAACTATTCCTGACAAAAATACTCAACAAGTTCACTAGAAATAGTTTGTTTAAATAATTCCTATGAAATAAGGAAAACGCTTTTTTTAAAATCATACAAAATAAAGTTAAGCATCAAAATTATTAGGCTTTACACTTTCTATTGAATAAAAGTTTATGCTTATTCAAATATGGCTCTGCTACACTGCAATGCAAACCTATCCCAACAATAGGATTTCTACATTTCTACAAATGGTATTTCCTGCTTATCAAATTAAAATGGGACACAGAAACAATAGCTTAAACTTGAAATCTGTATCAAGGCTGAGCAATGAAGAAAGTTTTGTGCACTACCAAATTTCAAGTTTTGCTCTGCAACATAAATGGTCTTAATAGAGGTTCCTGAAAAATTCTGAAGTAAATGAAAACTTTTTATTTTAACATGTAGGTATCAGACATTAATTTATAACATAATAAACATGAATTCTCACCTGTTCAGTAAGTAATATTGAGGTATTGCTATATTTTTTACTTGTTTCTGATCCAAGAGTAACAAATCTTAGGAGAAAAAGTGTTAACGAGATGCACCAGATTACCAGTTCCCAATTGTAGTGACAATCAAGGAAGATCTCATGTACATGAAGCAACTAAAAATGTAGGGAAAAGGCAATATGAAGAAGAATGTGATTCAAAAATTTCTTCTTCAAAAGAAAGTAAAATTTTACTTCATACAGATAGATCCTGGATATAGTGTTACATTTTTCAAACATTCGACATTTCTTAGGAAATATTTCAAGCACATGAAAGGTATGGAGTATGATGTAATCAAAACCCATATATTTACTTTCATTAAATCTTAATATCTTGCAATATTTTTTAGATTTTCAAAAACAGAAGAGTAAAGATTCAAAGGAAGCCCCTTTAAACTTTTCCTTTCATCATTCCCCTCATTCCCCACCCCTCTGTAAGGGTAATGACTTTTGTATTTACCTCTTCCACTCAGCTTTTATAGTTTAGCTAGGTATTTATGCTTATACTATGTTATGTTATATATATGTTGGAATTTGTATAAATGCTACCACATTGACCTTATCATTCTTCGATTTGCTTTTTAATCTACTGGATTTTGTTTTCAAAGTTTATCCATGATTCATTAAACTTAAATTCATTCATACCAACTACTGCAAGATATTACAGTAAAAGAATAAACCACAGTGGATTTGCCTACTCTATCAATTAACATTCACTGGGTTGCCAATTTCCTCATTGCAAACTATAAATATTCTCTTATGCCTCTCCTGGTCTTCTTGTGCACATGTAAGACCTTCTTCAGGAGTTAATATCTAGGAGTAAAACTGCTAAAGCCTTGGATAGTCACACATTCAGTGTTAGCAGATATTACATATCTGTTTCTAAAAACAGTTGTGCCAATTTATACTCTCAGCAGCGGATCAGAGTTCCCTTTGCCTTCATATCTGTTCAAATTGGGTATTATTCAACTTCTTAACACCTGCCATTCTAATGGGTGTACATTGTTCTCTTACTCTTTTCCTTTTCCTTTTGCAAATTACTTAGGGAGATGAGTATGTTTCATATGCTTACTGGTCACTGGCTTTCCTCTTCTCTAAGTTAACTTTTTAAATTTTGCATTTAACTTTTTCTATTAGGTTGTCTGTTTTCATTGATTTGTTGAAGTTATTTTTGTGAGTAACAAAGCTATTTAAACCATGTATTTTGCCAGTATTTTTTCACAGACTCTCTTTTGTCATTTATGGTGCTTTAATACTTAACAAATTTTAGGGAGAGGCAGGAAAGAAGAATAAGTAAGAGACTGAATATATCAGGTAAAAGTCTTATTTTAGACTGGCCCTTTACAGAAGTTTGCTGATTTCTGACTTAGAGAAACAAAACTGATTCTTTTATATTGAGGTTATATCCATTTTTGTTGATCTTGCACTTCTAAAAAATGTGCCATGTTTTTAATAATTTGTCTGGAAAGTTACTAGAATATTATACATAGACATCCATACAGTCTATTTTTTTTTCCCAATCTTTACACAATTTCTTTCTTTCCCCTATCTTCACTGGTTAGTACCTTCCTTAACTAGAAGTGATAAAGAGAGCACCCATCTCATTCCTGATTTTAAAATATCTCAAAGATAATAAATATCATATGTACAATGTTTGCTCCAGTTTTTGAAAGATTTTTATTTATAAAATTAAGAACAGTACTTTTCAGTCACTCTATTATGAATCTCCCATCGAAATTTACCAATTTGTTTTCTGAATCTATTGAGATGATCAGATGATTTCTCCTTTAATCAACTAAAGGAGTTCAAACTAGATAACTGGATTTTCTAAAGTCGAAAACGTCTGCATCCAAGGGATAGGCTGTCTAGGTCATGGCATATTTACTGTTATTAACTGCTGGCTTCATCTTCTGAGTATTTCTGCATCTAAGCTAGTTCACTGCTTCCTGTGCTCATATTGTCTCTCTGGTTTGGTAACAAAGTTACATGAAGTACATTAAATGAGTTGGGGGAATATTCCCTTTTTCTACTCTCTAGATCTTTTGCATAGGATTAGGATTACTTGTTCATTAAAACATCTGGCAAAATTCATCTGTAAAAATCACAAGGGTCTTGGGGATTTTTGTTGGTAGCAGATTTTCAAACTACTGAATCAATACTGCTATATGGCTGCAGGGTCTTCTCAGCGCTTCAGTTACTTTCTGAGTCAGTTTTAATTAACATTTCTACAAAACTGTCCACAGAAACTTTTAACTTTAATGACATTAATATATACTACTATTCTTTTTTAAATTCTCAACTATTTGTTTAATACTGTGAGTTTTCTTTTTAAACACTGCCATCTATAAGTATGTTTTGAAATTTCCAAATGCATGATTTTCTTTTTGCTGTCATTGTTTTCTACTTTAACTGTATATAACTAGAGGTCTGTATGGTATCAGTTGAGAATCATTTTGTCTCCCAGTACATGGGAAAGTTTAATAAACTGCTCTGTGTCTGAAAAGAGTATGTATTGTCCAATCTCAGAATAAAATTTTAAGTGTCTTGTTTAGATACATGTCTTCGTATTTTTGTCTGCTTCATCAATTATTAAAGAAATGTGTTCAAAGCTCCCAAAGTGGCATTTTGTCAATTCCTTACTACAGTGCTATTGATTTAGGCTGCATATAGATAGGAGTGAAGTTATGTGATAACACACACAATTTTAGAATTGTTAGATCTTCCTGACTAATTTTTCAAAATTTTTGTCAGGTTTGTCTCTATCCCAGTAACGTATCTTAGATTACAGTCTATTTCATCTGGTATTAATGTTACTTTACCAGCTTTCTCTTGGCTAGTATTTATCTGCAATGTACTTTTCTATCTTTTTGCATTTAAAACTTGACAATGTTATTATGTTCCATGTGTCTTTTGTTGACAGAAATAGATTTTATGTTCATTAGAGACAAAAATACTGCAGGATGTACTTCAGGAATATGGAAATAAAACCCTGAAGAAAAGACTGAAATGCAACAAGCAACTGTGAGTAAAGAAACCAGTCTTCCTTTCGATTGTGTTAGATTTTTCCTTTTTTGGTGTTCAGCAGTATCTCTACTGCAGTATCTCTATAATGTATCCAAAGTGTCAATTTGTTTTTATTGTGGCTTCTTGTTCTTCTTGTCCTTCCTAAACCTGAAAATTAATGTCTTCTACTAATTCAGAAAAACTCTTAAGTCATCATCTCTCCAAATATTGCTCTCTTCTTTCAATATGAAATTATTAGACATATGTTGGATCTCCTTTTCATATTTCCATCTCTTCATCTCTGTTCTATATTCTGGTAATTTCTTCCATCTCCCAGCTCACCAGATATCTTTGTCTTCAATTTGCTGTTTCTTCTGTTTGTTGTGTTTTTAATGTCAGTGACCTCTTTTTTTAACTTCTATGAAGCAATGATTGGGTATTTTTCAAATCTATCTGCTCTTTTTTTTTAATAGTGTTACCTATATTTTCAGTCATTTTAAACAAGCTTATAGTTTCTATCTGATCAGACCTGAAGTTGCTGGAGATGTACTCCTGCTGTGTGTTAATTTGTTGACTCACTCATTTAGAAAGTTTTTTCATGTGTTCTGAGACCTGAAGGGGCTTTAACTGTGCAAATTCTATGAGGATTAGGGTTGAAGTTACATCCCAAGAACAGTCTTGGTTTAGCTTCTTTCAGGTATCCAGGAGTCTAGGACCTTGTTATATTAACTTCTTGACACAGCAGCTACAAGACAAGATCTGTAATGTACACTTACACCCCTGAACCTGTATTAAAAGCTGACCTACATTTATATATTCTTAGGAGAGACTTTCTCTGCCTCCTTGGCCAGAACCCTGGCAAAACTGACCAAGCTTCCTTATTGTCTTCCTATGCTGTTGGGCAGACTTTTTCTTATTGCACCTTTTCACTGAGACTGTAGGCCTTTGAGGATTCTGGCCCTGTAGTTTATGTATAAGGAGGTACAGCAGATCAAGGCCTCATCTCCTGTTCGCAAATGGGCGTAAAATCTCAAGTCTCTCACATACTAACACCAACAAAGCACTTCAACCTAACATTAACACATATACTTAACTGCTCTGTTTTTCACTTTTATCCTCATTTTTGGCCCCTTACTGTGTTATAAACTGAAACATACAAGCAATATGCATATTTATAAAACAGCTCACTTATACATATTAAGATGCTGTTTATTTTCCCCCAGTATTGTATGTTTCAAACCAGAAGAATTTTCAGGTAATCTAGCATATCTTATTACTTGAAACGGAAGTTTAAATTTCATAGCATAGAATATATCCTGAGATGCTTTTGTACTTCCTGACTAATCTTGGTCAATGAGAATTCTTTTTTCAGAGATGAAGCAGTTAAGTCACAGTGATAATTCAGGTATAAAATAAAAGTTAATATTAAATGTGAATAAAGCAGAGATCATGGAAAATAGTCTGAAAAATTTCCTAACTCTAGACACTCATCAGTTTGTTTGGGGAAATAAAGGTGAATTGTAGACAAAAGCTAATTATTTTATGTTCAATTAACAGACACCTGAAAATAACTTAGTCATTAGTCATCATGTAAATAAGTAAGATGCATTTACTTACTCTACTGAAAAAAATAAAGTGTAAAAATTCAATTTCAAATTACTTATTACTTTATTATTAGAAAGCCTTGGAGGTTGAATATTTATAGATCTGATTATCTAAGTTCTACACAGAATAAGTTAACTCACCTGGGCACAACAGATAAATACAACTGAGATAGTCAACAAGAAAGCAGATGAAACTATGACATCAACTGATCGCTGAGGACCTCGACGCTGGGGGAAAAAAGTGAAAACACTTTTAAATATATTTACTAATTAGCAGCTTATTCCATGCTTTCAACTAAGGTACTGATCCATCACTGCACACTGACCATAGCTTATGACATTGAAAATATACCTAATTTGTGAGATGAATTTTAATTATAAACTGTTACTATTGCCTGAGGATTTGCAACACAATGAAAAATGGTGAATAGATAGCCTAGAATTTATAGAAGGATAACTCCCAAATATTCCATTTTGTCAAACCCTAACCATTTATTCAACAGGTTTTTTGGACACCTGCTCAGAATGAGGGACAGTGCTAGATGCTAGAAATATAGTAGAGAACAAAGCAGACAAGGAGTCAAACATCAAGTTCATAGAGACAGATATACTTGCAAGTTGTGATGAGAGCTATGAAGGAAAGGTATAGAATGCTTTCAGAACATTGGTGACAAGTTTGGTACAAATATCACTTCCTTAGAGAGATCTTCCCAGGCCCATTCTCCTAACTCTCAGAAAGATTGTGTAGGCCTGGGAAGATCTCTCCAAGGAAGTGATATTTACACCAAAGTAGGGTGCAGTAGCACGATGGCACACAGCAGTGTTATTGGTAGAAGGAAAAGCAAGTGCAAGAGTGTAAAACAGAAAAGGTCACAGTACATTCAAAGCATTGAAGCAGTGTAGTCTGGCTGGAATGCAGGAAGGAAAGTATTTCAAAATGAGACAACAGGGACAAGCTATCTGCAGCAGCTGAGTCAAGAAGGGCATTAAAAGCCCTATTAAGATTTGGTTCTACATCCTAAGATCAATGGAGAATTTTCAGAAAGTTTTAAGAATATGGTCAAATCTATATTTTTAAGACACCTCTGGTAGCAAACTGAGAAAAATATTAAAAGGAGGAAACAGGAACGCTAGAGGCCATATAAGATGTAACTGCAGTAATCCAATACAGGAGATAATTGGTGGCTGCAATTAGGGTGGGGAAATAAAAAGAGAGAGAGAAGTAAATGGATTTGAGATACATTTTGGAAGCAGAAAGGGTGGGAACTGGTGATAAACTGAATGTTGGAAATCCAAGAGAGGAAGTCAGTACTCAGGATAATTCCTAGACCTCGGGTTACATATTTCCCTCACTGAAGAATGAGCTCCTAATGGCAGAGAGTTTCATCTCATCAATAGTGAATGGCACATGGTTAACATTAAATGAATGTTTATTGACTAAAATAATCAATGCATAAAAGAATGCAATACCTGCTCAGGGATGATAAGGAGAGCAAATTTTAGGTGGCTTCTCACTAAGACAGGTAACAAGGATCATATCCATCCTTCCAGCGGTGTCACAGTGAGAAAAAGCAATCTACACTGATCTGTGGGATCGCCCAATGAAGACTAACTTAGCTGAATTTAACAAGTTAAATAAACAGCATAATGATTTTTTTTTTTAAACAGAAGTGTAGACAAATAATGCAAAAGTTTTCTACTTTTTCCTTGTTACCTCAAAATAAAAGTCTAAGCATGTCAGAGGACAGTTGGCCTTTAGGTCAATTTTACTAAGCTATGATTACTCCATACACAATGAAATTTATTGCTATGCAACAAAGAAATAATCCTCAGAAGAAATGTTTCCTAAAACTAATTCAGATGTTTCCCATTTCCCTCCTGAGCTTTTATATCTTAATTCCATAATGAGGAAAGTTATTTTAAAAGATTAAAGGAAAAGAATGGCATAAGAAGGATGGCTTAGAATTGGAAGCTAAAGTTTTCAAATAGTAATAGGCCACCTCAGTGAGGTAGCTCATTGACAATTTTTTTTTTTTAATTTCCTTTTTTAAGCAGTGGGCTCCCTCTGCTGGCTTGTGATATAATCATTCTATTGTAGAAACAAAATCTTTAATCTAGCTTTTGAATGAGTAGTAGTAGTTGGTGAGATTTATGAACAAAGATAAATTTAGGACAACCTGATTTTGAATCATCTACCTAAAATGCATTTAAGCCTTTTGGAATTCAGATGTTTTACTGTAAAGAACCAGTTTAACATTTTGAATTTCTGCATATGGATCAAAATGAACACTAGACGTGGCCACATAGCACCATGTGAGGACAAATCTGACTATTAATCTAGACATACATACATACTGACAAAGAACTGGAACTATGAGAGGGAGCCAGCACGTTAAGGGTACTTTTATCACTACCATTCTACCTTAAGATAGGATCGGAGAGAGAGCCACATTTTTATATTCTGTACTTTCTTCAATCGGAAATGGGGAACCTCAGATTTTCGAGCCCTCCTTGCCGATGTTAAATGTCCAAAGAGTTTTGCAAAAAGTAATCGCTAAAAAAGATTAAAATAAGAATTAATTTTCAAGTAGATTACCACATAAATACAAAAATTAACAAAATAGAAGTTATTAAGGTTTTATTTGGTTAACTATTATAAAAACAAAATGGGGAAACAATTAGCACGTCAAAATGATTTAATGAAACACCAAAATACTTCAGGGATACCGTGAATATTATGAAAAGGATAAAATTCTCTATTGAGACGTCCATATTATACCCACCTGTTTATAAGTTCTTTCTGCTACACAGAGCAAAAAAAAGAAAATCCACACAAGAGACACACGAACCACAAAACTTATTATAACCATAGAAAGAACTATAACATCTTCATTAGAACCAAACGCAATCACATAGAGTTCTGAAGCAGAATGTGCTGTGAGTTGATCCAAGTCGGTAGCTTGGGAGAGTCGGAAAACAAATGGAGTTAAACCCAGGATTAGAGAGATTGCATTTCCAAAAATCTGGTAGCCTATTCCTGGTATATGGCTGTTTACCTTTATAGAGAGAGAGAAAAAAAAATGTACACAAATTTTATCTACAGTAAAATTAATTCCTAATGAAGCATTATTTTATTTATAGCAATATGAAATTACTATTAAAATATATCAGTTTTAATACCTGAATAATGAAATTTAAATTTACTCAAAGTTTGAGAACCTATTACACATAAAACGTAAGTTGATATTTTTCAGTTTTTAAAAATAGTTCATTATCAGATCTCTAATTCATTAAGTAGAGGCAAAAGGATTTACTTACCTGGTCTTACTTGGACTTGAAAAAAATATTCTACTTATCTCATTATTTAAAAATTTAGAAATATTTACAAATACTAGAATACTGAAAAGAATGAGGAGATCTTGTATCCACTTAAATGCAGTTAAAGAAAAAAAATCTAGAATTTATACTTTATGTTCTTCTTCAAAGAGTTCACAATACAAATGGATAATCTTAAACTGCAAAACTACTTTCTTTTATGTATATATACATATATATATATTATTTACTGAAACCATTTCAGAAGAGAATATGCTAGGGGGTAAAAATTAAATAAGAGTGAGGGAAAAAGGGGCAGGGGAATTATAAGAAAAAAAGGAATTTGGAAATTAAATAATGGAAAATATAAAATTGGCAGGACTGGGAGGGATTTTAAATATCATCTAGCTACCTTTTTTATCATCATATTGCATAGCATGCAAAAATTCACAAATAAGGTACAGAGTATTAACTAGATGCAAGTTTTTGGAGACTCCTTGTCAATAGCTTTTCATAGTTCACATGGAGATTTGTAATAGGAAGTAGCTCAGTTTCTGAAACCAGTTATTTTAATTCCTGTCCTATATAAAAGTATGCACAACAGTTCTAGTTAGCAACACATAAGAAATTTAAAATTGCAAGTTAAATCATGCTTAGCTGTCCATGGGAATTAGGCAAAATTTTAAAAGTAGTAATGATGTCATAAAAGAATAATAGAAACTGAAGCTTAAATCTGTAGGATTTGTATTCTACATCTTCAAGTGACTTAAGATTCTTTTACCATTAGTTGCATTACTCTTGTATATTTAAAGGCAAGCATCAATAGAAATTTTCCAGTGTGAATTCTCTTTTTTAATGTTTTGAGTAGTAATAAATAAACAAACTGGGATAAATGATACAGAAAAATGTTTTCATTAACACTTGGATACACCTAGCAGCTCCTAAATTTGGTCCACTGAAAGCAAAAAAAAGAATAACATAAAATAAAATTTTAAACCATCAAGGTCTATTCTTGATCAGAAAATGAAAAGCACCAAAAAATGAGAGTGTTTTGGTGACAAACCACTCAAATACAAGGAATTTTTTCTTTCAGGTTGAAGAAATGAGGTGAGTAGCTTGTAAATATAACACTCCAGTAATCATTTGCTATATTAATAATCACTATCTAAACAAATAAAATTTAAAAACTCACTCTGTTCATTATCATTCCACTGATTTCAAGGACAGACATATCTGCTTTCTTGCAGTCATTGCCTTCCCATACGATAGCACTTATTTTTTCTAATCCCGGGTGGGAACTATGGAGCCAGGGCAAATGACTCTATAAAAAATAAACAGAAATTGGTGAGTATATTAACTGCATTTCAAAATAAAATCTTATCTACATACACTAAAAAACAGAAACTGGTGAATGCATTTATATTTATAGAACAGATATATTTATCTATACAAAGCTATCTCATGTACAATTTCAAGGACACTAAAATTCTATCTTAAAATTAGTTTGCATATACATTGAACATGTCGCAAAAGAAATTACAGTTATAAAAATGCATATAAGTTAAGAACTCTCAGAACCTGTACTAGGGCAACTGATTGTTCAAAAATACTCTAAAATTTGTCAGCAAAGGCACTTAGTTGTCAATCTGTTTACATAACTCCTAATATACTAGTGTTCAAAGACAAATGTGTATCAAATTCATATTACTAATTATTCATATTATTGACTGTTCAACTTATGCATGTCTGATACAAAAGAAAATGATGGCTGAGATTTGAACCTTTCTGAAAGACTAAACAGTGATACAATCTCATTCAGAAAGACACACACTTACCCTTAATACTTGATTTAGTTACTTTTCTGATTTTTTTAAATCTAGCATTTCTCCAAAGGATCCATTTAACTTTTCTCTTCAGAGCAAATATTACAAACTGAAGCACACAGAAAATAGAAGTATTCCCCCAGGTAAAATAGAGTATCTCTCACAGTTTCACAGAATAGAAAATGGTAGAAAGAAAAGCTGAAAGCTTTACTACAAACAAATCATATACTTAGTGTATATTTGTTTTTTTTGTTTGTTTCAGATCTATAATTAAAAGAATAAAACTTCAAAATAGGACAGTTGAGGGTTAAAGATAGAAACACAATAAAACACTAATCTTTACATTATCAGATATCAATAGAAATAACACAAAAAGACTGGTCCCTCCCCCAAAAAAAGGTTAGTTCCAGAATGAGATACAGTTGATATTTTTAATATTATATTATTTCTAAGTTATTTTAATAACATATTTCATTTAAAGAACTTCTAACAATGAACAAAAGAATCTACTTTAAAATATTCTTTGGCAGATAAAAATGTGATTGAAATATGATAAAAGGTATGCTTCTGCAGACTTAAGGAATGTATTTCCTCTGGAGGAAGTAAAGTTGCGCTGATTCATTTTAATTAAAGGTATAAAAAGTAACATTAATAATATGCAAGAAAATAAATAGGGGAACTTATTATTCTGACCTCATACATTAATTTTCTTTATGTAAAGCCAATATACCACATTTATGTACACAGAGTAAAAAAAGTGATGAACAGTTATACAGGCAAACCATAATGCCAGTAGTCATGCTACTGGCAAAGCCCTTTTATGTGTAGCTATTTGGCTACCAAGACAGTTCCTCTGAAAATTTATCTATTCCAAAAACAGAGTATCTTAATATATATTAACCTTCACAGTATACATTTCATTACTGGAGAACCTTAAGAGCTATGTGATACTGACAGGAGTTATTAAACATCCACCTAATTCCTCAAATTGTATTTTATAATTTATCCCCAAACAAAACAGAAATAATTTACACTAAAATGCCAAAATTTCCCTGAAACTATAATAATTATGAAAAATGATGAAACGAAAAAGCCTGGAACAAGTATGAGAAGCTGAATGCAGAGTGTTAAACCACAGAGGTAATAGATTAAAGCATCGATATACAGGCTCCTTTTTTTAAACTCTCAGTCTGTAACAGTGAATTATATGAAGCAAGATATACAATACCAAGAACGTCCATCTAGAAAAAGAAATAGGAAATCAAAAAACTCTTCACTCTAATTCTAAAAGTACTCAGTTTGCTCAGGTACCTTCTATCTAGCATTTGATAGCATTTTCCTATTTCTAGAAAGGAAAAAGGCAAGAGCATAGAAAGCAACTAAAACCTGGAGAATTTAAAAAGATATAGGAATGTGTGTGTACATGTGTAATGTACTCAAAAAAACAGTCTTATTGAAATATACACTGCCTTTGGTACATGAAAGATTTTTTAAAAGTCTCAAAGAAAACATTAAGAGCAAATCATTCCATTTTACAGCTTCATCAGATAACAGGTTCTTTTAGCTATGTTTTTCAAGCTAAAGTTTAGAACTCATTCAGTATTTCTTATTATTCTTATCAAAATCTCAATTGCTTTGCTCCCTGTTCATTCAAAGCTTTCTTGAAGTTTCCACCTCTGGGAACTATAGCAGTAGTATGGCTTTACCCACTGAAAAATGAACTTCACTCGAATGTGTCTTTGTCATTGTGTGGTCACTCACTAAGTTGTGCCAACTCTTTGCAACCCCATGGACTGTAGCCTGTCAGGCTCTTCTATCATGGCATTTCCCAGGCAAGAATTCTGGGGTGGGTTGCCATTTCCTTCTTCATGGGATCTTCCTGATACAAGGACCGAAACCATGTCTTCAGCATTGGCAGGTGAATTCTTTACTACTGAGCCACCAGGGAAGCCCCCGGAATGCGCCTTTATATTATATGCTCATCCATGGCTACAGAATAAAAATTTTCTCTTTTAGAAATATTTCAGTAACTATTTACCAAGAAAATAAAATAAAACTACATATTTGGTGACACACTGGCTAGAACACACTCATTGAAATGCTCAGTGCTTCATGGGGAGGAATTTTCCAGTCTTTATCGTAGGCAGGAAAGGGTCTTCCAAATCTTACACAGATCTTAGCCAAACAAACAAACAAAAAAGGCAGCTTTTCATTAAAGGGAGCTAATTTCAGCTAAGACTGAAAATATGAGCTTGTCTTTAGAAGCCCAGAGAATACAAAATGCATGTGAAATCGTTCTAAATCAAAAAGCAAAACCACTGTAAACCTAGAATACTGTAATTAATATGTAGAGTAAAACAGTAAAAAAAAAAAAAATTTTATCTTACAAAAAAAAAGGAAAAAAGAGATATAATTAGGACCAAAATTTATTCTATGGAGCATTCATTACAACAAAATTTTTAATCATTTAAGAAAGGTCTACTTAGCACCTTTTGAAAATTTTTGTTTCATTATTTCACTCAACTAACATTAAGCACCTACTATTACCAAGCGCTGTGTGATACAACAATGAGCAAAGCAACGTGTGGTCCCTACCTCCGTGCCACTTATGCGGTTGCTGAGAAAAGAGCTCAGACATTTTCATAAACCTAAAATCCAGTTATTATCCTCATTGACTTAGATGAATATACAGGTGACTCATCCATCACCCTTTTCCCATGCATTATTCACTGTTTTTTTTTTCACTTCTTAAATTCAAGGGATCTTCAGCTAGTTCCATGACCACACCCTGGACCCGTCACCACACAGAAATGCCTACTTCTGAAATGAGCCTCTAACCACAATCTTTCATCTTACCAGAGAGGAAAGATAACTCAAACCTTCCATTTAAAACACATTTTCCTTGAACACACATATTCTTCAACCTATCAGTCTCTTCTTCATATTTCCTTCTCAACTTAACATGTCTAGCTTCTTGCCATATCCATTATTTTAACCAGCATAGCATCCCCTTTCCTGTCCCTTCAATAGCAACTACTTGGCACCTACACTGTGTGACTCTGGGTGCATTATTTAATCCTGAGCCTTCATCTCATTTATGCAACAAAAAACAAACTACATTGACATAGATCATGGAGATTATATGAGGCAATGCATCTAGATTACTTTGCACAATGGATGATATATAGGGCCAATGCTTATTAAATCTTTGTTATTATAATTATTAAAACTATATTCTAGAGAATATCATACAACTGTGTAAAACTGTTATTTTTCAGTTGCTAAGTCATGTCCAACTCTTTGTGACCCCATGGACTACAGCACACCAGGCTCCTCTGTCCTCCACTATAACCCAGAGTTGGCTCAAATTCAAGTCCAGTGAATTGGTGATGCTATCTAATCATCTCATCCTATGCCACCTCCTTCTCCTTTTGCCTTCAATCATTCCCAGCATCAGGGTCTTTTCCAGTGAGTCAGCTCTTTGCATTAGGTGGCCAAAGTATTGGAGGTTCAGCTTCAGCGCTAGTCCTTCCAATGAATATTCAGATTTCCTTTGGGATTGACTGGTTAGATCTCCTTCCAGTCCAAGGGACTCTCAAGAGTCTTCTCCAACACCACAGTTCAAAAGCATCAATTCTTTTCACACAGCCTTCTTTATGGTCCAACTCTCACATCTGTACATGACTACTGGAAAACCCAAAGCTTTGACTATACATACCTTTGTCAGCAAAGTGATGTCTCTGCTTTTAATATGCTGTCGAGGTTTGTCATAGCTCTCCTTCCAAGGAGCAAGTGTCTTTTTAAATTTCATGGCTGCAGTCATCATTGGCTGTGATTTTGGAGCTCAAGAAAATAAAATCCATCACTGCTTCCACTTTTCCCCTTTCTATTTGCCATAAGTGATGGGACCAGATGCCATAATCTCGGTTTTATTTAATGTTGAATTTTAAGCCAGCTTTTTCACTATCCTCTTTCACCTTCATCAAGATGCTCTTTGGTTCCTCTTCCCTTTCTGCCATTAGGGTGGTATCATTTGCATATCTGAGGTTGTTGATATTTCTCCTTGCAATCTTGATTCCAGCTTGTGAGTTATTTAGCACGGCATTTTGCATGATGTACTCTGCATATAAATTAAATAAGCAGGTGACAATATACAATGTACTCCTTTCCCAATTTGGAAAATCGGATCTTCCATGTCCAGTTCTAACTGTTGATTCTTGACCCACATATAGGTTTCTCAGGAGGCAGGTAGGGTGGACTGGTATTCTCATCTGTTTAAGAATTTTCCATAGTTTGCTGAGATCTACACAGTCAAAGGCTTTAGCATAGTCAATGAAGCAGAAATTTCTGGAACTCCCTTGCTTTCTTCATGATCCAATGAATGCTGGCAATTTGATCTCTGGTTCATCTTCCTTTTCTAAATCCAGTTTGTACATCTAGAAGTTCTTGGTTCACATGCTATTGAACCCTAGCTTGAAGGATTTTGAGTATTTCCTTGCTAGCAAGTGAAATGAGTGCAACTGTATGGTAGTTTCAACATTCTTTGGCATTGCCCTTCTTTGGGAAATTGGAATGAAAACTGACTTTTCCACTCCTGTGGCCACTGCTGAGTTTTCCAGATTTGTTGGCATATTCAGTGTAGCACTTTAACAGCATCATCTTGTAGGATATTAAACAGCTCACCTAGAAATCCAGCACGTCTACAAGCTTTGTTAGTAGTAATGCTTCCTAAGGCTCACTTGACTTCACACTCTAGGATATCCAGTTCTATGTGAGTGAACACACCATCGTGGTTATCTGGGCCATTAAGATCTTTTTTGTACAGTTCTTCTATGTACTCTCAATCTCTTCTGCTTCTGTTTGGTTCTTACCATTTCTGCCCTTTATGGTGCCCATCCTTGCATGAAATGTTACCTTGATATTTCCAATTTTCTTGAAGAGATCTCTAGGCTTTTCTATTCTATTGTTTTCCTCTATTTTTTTGCATTGTTTAAGACTCTCTCTCTCCTTCCTATTCTCTGGAATTCTGCATTCAGTTTGGTGTATCTTTCCCTTTCTCTCTTTTCTTTTGCTTCTCTTCTTTGCTCAACTATCTATAAAGCCTCCTCAGACAACCACTTTACATTTCTTTGGGATGGTTTTGGTTACTGCCTCCTGTATATTGTTATGAACTTCCATCCCTAGTTCTTCAGGCACTTTAACAGATCTAATCCCTTGAATCTATTCATCACCTTCACTGTATAATCAAAAGGGATTTGATTTAGGTCATACCTGAATGGTTTTCCCTACTTTCTTCAATTTAAGCCTAAATTATGCAATAAGGAGCTCATGATTGGAGCCACAGTCAGCTCCAGATCTTGCTTTTGCTGACTATATATAGTTTCTCCATCTTCAGGTACCAAGAACATAATCAATCTGACTTCGATATTGACCATCTGGTGGTGTCCATGTGTAGAATCATCTCTTGGGTTGTTGGAAAAGTGTTTGCTATGACCAGCAAGTTCTCTTGACAAAATCTGTCAGCCTTTGCCTTGTTTCATTTTATACTCCAAGGTAAAACTTGCTTCTCTGATTATCTCTTGACTTCCTACTTTTGTGTTCCAATCCCCTATGATAAAAAGGACATCTTTTTTTGGTGTTAGTTCTAGAAGGTGTTGTAAGTCTTCATAGAACTAGTCAACTTCAACTTCTTCAGCATCAGTGACTGGAGCACAGGCTTGAATTACTGTAATATTGAATGGTTTGCTTTGGAAAATGTGTAGAATGGGCAGCTACAAATTCATAGTTTTAGATTCCAGCTAAACCAAGATTTCACTCAACCAAGTAGGACTGTGACTCTTTTAATGTGTTACATGGCTTGAACACAAACAAACATATACTCTCTCCTCACCATCTCCATTTCCCATAAATGATAATGAGAAGCCTTCACCACTATCCACAAGCCCCTTATCCTATTATCTCACTTCTTTACTATTAAGAGACCATATGGCCTCCAGCACTTCAAAGAATAGATATCATGCAGTAACTCTCATGGTCTGACTTGCTTCATGCACTCTTCCTCCCCTGTCTGTTTCAGCAGAGGATGTGTTCCTTGTCCTGTTGGAGGCTAGGCTTCCTAAGTATACCTTTTCTCCAGAACTCTAAGAAACCAAAACTGTACCGATTTTCCCACCTGTTTTTCTCCTATGCACATAAGAGCTCTCCCATCTTCACATCTAGCAGCTGGGGACCAATACATTCCTTCACTTTCTCCAACTTGTCAGAGTTATGCTTCTTCTTTTTTTTTTTTTTAAGTATTTATTTATTTTATTTATTTATTTAGCTGCATCGGGTCTTAGTTGCAGTACACTGGATCTTCTCATAGTAGTTATATATTGAAATGATAATGCTTTAAATATACTGGGTTAAACAAAACATATTTAAACGAATTTTACCTTTTTAACTGTTTTTAAATGAGACTACCAGAAAATTTTAAATTATGTATGTAACTCATTTTATTTTTGTTGGATAGCATTACTATAGGCACTTTGAAATAGAAATCTGATATTCATGAGGTGTAGATTTGTGAATTATAATCGTATACGTGTGTGGAATTAAGGTCACAGGTATAGATGAATCTGACCATGAAGTATGCTTAGTGAGAAAAGGACTAATACATCTAAAGTACAATCTGACTTAGAAAATTCTATTTACCAACAATTTCTTAGGAACATATGTTTGCAAGGTGATTGACAATCACTATATAAATACTGAGATTCTATGTTCCTATGAAGCCAGATCACAGGTCACATAAAAATAAAAATATGGGAACATTATTTTAATTGAATGTTAAGTTTTCTCTCACCTCTGTCAAATGTACATACATTCAAAGGAGCTGGACCAACAGCCCCACATAATCCAACACTGTAAACCAACCTGATGAAAAGGGTCGTCTCTATATTCTTTTTTCACACATGGATTAATTTGAGGATTTTCCACATCTGTCTCACTGGTACAAGATGATCGGCATTCTGCACAATGTAACAAGTCTTCCCATAATACATCTTCTGTTTCAGATTCTGGCCTTGTGCTCTCAGAATCCTGTCTGGAACTTGAACAGCGAGAGCTGCAACTAGTACCCGATTTAGGGGCATCCTGAAATCAAGATATTCTTTGACATTAATACAATTTATGTACCCTTTCCAACTCAATGGATTTTATCAGAAACATATATTGCTACTTTTTACTAAAACAAAAAACACACTGCCAAATGACAGTGAAATAAACAGCAAAACATTAAAATACATATTATTTTTAAGGAGTAACAAAATTTTCTCACATCAAAATGTGATTTCACATCTTAGCTCCAGTGTTATTTTGCAGGCAAAAGCTGTACCTGTTTTCTCCTAAACTTTATACAAAGTTCAGAATTCAAAGACTAGCCTAAATCTATATGGACTGCATAGTCAGTGAATACTAACCCACTTTAACTGATATATTTAATGAAGTTCTTACTCTAGTCTTTTTTTTTAAGCAACAACAGGTTTCATATATCTACTGTTTTTGTTTTTCAAACAGAAGTTCAATAAATTGATATAAAATTAACAAATCCTCTATACCAGGAAGATAACTGCCAATTTGTGTTTTTTAGATGCGTGCTGTGCTTAGTCATGTCTGACTCTTTGCGACCCCATGGACTATAGCCTGCCAGGCTCCTCTGTTCATGGGATTCTCCAATCAAGAATACAGGGGAGAGTTAAGGTCCCCCCACCCCCGCCCCTGAGGAGGGCTATAGGGGAGTTCTACATAATTTTTGGAGGTCTTGTGAGATAAACAAGACCAAAAAAAAAAAAAAAGAATACAGGGGGTAGGTTGCCATGCTCTGCTTCAGGGGATCTTCCCAACCCAGGGATGGATCCCAGGTTTCCCACACTGCAGGCAGATTCGTTACCATCTGAGCCACCACGAAAACCCAAGAATAATGGAGTGGGTAGCCTATCCCTTAGCCAGGGGAACTTTCTGAGCCAGGAATCGAACCAGGGTCTCCTGAATTGCAGGTGGATTCTTTACCAGCTGAGCTACCCAGTAAACCCCAGGTTTTTTAGATAATCTATGGTTAAAAAAAAAAAGTGAAAAACTAAAAGGTATAAGTTAAATAATTTCTCATCAATATACTTTTCCACTGGGAGTTTTTTCAAATACAAAATAAATACCTTTGAGCAAAATTTTAATTTAAATTAATTCAAAAGTGGAAGTGAAAGTGAAGTCACTCAGTCGTGTCCGACTTTGTAGCCCCGCAGGCTCCTCGGTCCATGGGATTTTCCAGGCATGAATACTGGAATGGGTAGATATTTCCTTCTCCAGGGGATCTTCCCGACCCAGGGATCAAACCCAGGTCTCCCGCGTTGTAGGCAGACGCTTTACTGTCTGAACTACCAGGGAAGTTGTTCTTTTTTTTTTTTTTTTAATAACTTCCTAAATAAAGAATGGTAATAGCCATCCTTATAGTCAAGTACGCTGAAATTTTTGGATTTGTTTTTACCCATCCTGTCGGTAAGATTGTCAATTTTACTTGCAAATGTTTTACTTATTCCTCTATCTTTGCCATGTTACCACAACAGTTCAGATTTCATCATTCACATTTTATTTGCTGTAAGGCCTTCCTTACTGACCCCTATCTGAAAGGACTTTCCCTATTTCTAGATTAACCTTCCCACAGTGGAGCTGCTCTTTCATTCCTCAGACTAAAATCTTTCTGTGGCTTCTCACATTCCTTCAACCTGCATGCTTGTCTCTGAATGTGCTACTTCGGACCCTGTTGTCTACTTCTACAGTGACACTGGGCTACTCCCTAGCCCCTCAACACCACTTTCTCTTTGCCACTCCAGCCTCTAATCATGTTCCTAGCACTTACTGCTAATCCTACTCTCCTTTAAAGTCTACTCTACAAAAGTATCAGGAAAATATCATCTCTACCCTTTCTAGCTGTCTTACATTGTTACTGAATCATCTACCAATGGGGAATAAAATTACCTACCTTAAAGAGATACTGAAAATTAAATGAGCGCTGTGGCTTTTAATGCAAACCTAGTACAAAGCAGGGGCTCAACAAATGTTAATTTAAAGCTACTCTCTACCCATGGCTGATTCATGTCAATGTATGTCAAAAACCACTACAATATTGTAAAGTAACTAGCCTCCCATTAAAATAAATAAATTTTAAAAAAAAAAAAAATAAAGCTACTCTCTACTTAGAGCAATCATTCTGTCCCTAAAGCAAGTTATTACTTTTTATGTTCATTTAATGACAAATTTTGTGTTGTTTTCTGGCATCTGAAATTTATCTATGTTAATTAAATGCTCAATATAGTTCATATTCTCAAATATATCCTCAAATATATCATATCTCTTAAATATATTATAAGTCCATGAAAGACAGAAACCACTTTTTTTTGGCCATCATTAGCACAAATAACAAAATATCTTAAATGAATTAGATATATTATTGATAATTAATTTATTGACACTAGGATGGGATAACATAAACATAAATTTAGTGTACTGATAAGAGTATTTATGGGAGGAGCATGGTTTGAGAGAGAAAAATTTTCCAGAAGAGCTGAGCAAGAAAATGAATAAAGAAAGAAAAAAGGGTAAAAATAAGTCAACTTTGTTTTAAGACATACACTCCCAAAATACTTCAGACTCAGTAATGTCAACCATATTTGAAACATAAGCTGTTTTCATTAGATAAGAAGACACACTGTATTAAGTAATCAGTAATTGCTAAATCAAAATTTTTTATGAAACTAGATTATCTGTAACTAATTTCTGATGCAGACTTGCTAACCAGATACAAATATAAGTAATAAGATTAAAGGCCTGATAACTGTTTAAGTGAAACTAATGGGTGATTTCAGGGATTAAAAAAATGTTATGTAATTCTTAATAAACGTATTTCATCAAATATTCATTGATGAGTGGGCCATTTCACAAATGTAAAATCTAAAAATTATTACCTATAATTGCTTACATTTCAAACAGAATTTTACCTGAAATATTTAGGTGGTTAATGGCCACTTTAAATTTCACTGCAAATTTTTGAATTAAGCCTGAAAGTAGGAAATTTTAGAACTGAAGAAAATAGCTCAATAGGTCATTTAATATGGTTTCCTCTGCTTATCTCAAATCTCTAGACTGGTAGTTTCAATTGAGGATACAATCATATTAAGAAAGGCTATTTATTTGAACTGAAATAGCTGAAGGGACGAAGCATTTATAACATAAATGCTTTGTGCCAGGCAATTATGCATAATCTTATTCAAACCTAACAATCTGATGAGGCCAGTGCCCTCCTCTCCCCACTGTACAGAAGCAGAAACTGAGACTCACGTAAGCTAAACAATTTTTCCAAAGTCACTTAAGTCGTCTGACTCCAAGCCCACTGTTTCTTCATTACGCTTCCCATCATCAGATGAAAAGCTAATTCACAACAAGAAATAAAAACTGAGACACTTGGAGAGTTAAACAAAGCAAGACAGAGCTAAGAAATAGTACAAATGCTTAAAAGGAGCTACAAATTACCCAGGATATCTCCTATATCCCAGATAACTGAGTAATTCCACCACCATCTTCCCAATAAGAGACTGGAAGAAACCCATCAGAAGAAACCCAGCAGAAACAGCCAAGGAACCAGGGTAGGGAGTTGAGGGGTAAGAGGCAGGAGAGTTAAGTCAAAGTCCAAGATACTGAATGGCAAGATCACACCTCATCCCCAATCCCCTTGGTGCCAAACACCATGACAGCATAGTATAGTACCTACCACTCCCATGCCAGTAGAAGATTGGATGATTTCTTCCTGAAAAACAAAACGCCCCTACAAAGTATATCTACAGATGCTAATATCTGGGAGGCTTACAACAAATGGCTGAGTTCCTGAAAAGTACTCTTCTGGTGAGGCCCATCAGTCCTGCTCCTGCACAAAGTGTTTCCCCAAATGATTTATTTGTGCCTCACCCTAAAAGAAAACAGTATCACTACTAATTTGAAAAGTACAGCAATAACTACATATGGATGCAAAACAACACTATAAATCCTGTTTGAATTTTACTTATTCAAAGGAGGTTTTGTTTTGCTTTTTTAATAAAAAATAAGAACAACTTTTCAGTTGGTTTGACTTGAGAGAAAAAATTTTGAAATACAGCCTTTAAATATCCTCTAGTCTCAAGTTCCTCACTTCACAGATGTAGAATCTGAAGATCTGGTTTTATTTTTAATGTAATCTTTTACATCACTTTTAAAAGATTTAAAACAACCAATGCCTACTCATTAATTATCAGCCTTACTTAGCTTGGAATCTGGAAGAGTTGAAGAAACATTTATTTAAAAGTTAAGATTAGCAGAATAATGTTCTGTCCTTCAAGAATCTCAATATCAGGACTTCCCTGGTTGTCCAGTGGCTAAGACCCCTAGCTCCCAATCCAGGGGGCCCAGGTTCGATCCCTGACCAGGAAAATAGATCCCACACGCAGTAACTAAGACCTGGTGTAGCCAAATAAACCATTTAAAAAAAAAAAAAAAAGAATCTCAATATCTCAAAATACAGCTGCAACTTAAGAAAAGTAAAGATTATGGGTAAAGAAAAGTAACTTTAAAGCCAAATATTTTATTCTATAGGAGAGTGGAGACCTCTTTTTATAGAAGGTTCCGAATCCTTTCCAGGACCAACAGACTTTCACCTGTTTATAGCCTATGAATCTCACAAGCGTGGTTATCTGGCTTAGGAACAGGAGACGGAACATCAGTTGTGGGCGAAGAGGCAATGAGCAGACACACTGGCATTAAGTGCCTCTCTAATGGCAGCCACTGACAGAAGAAACAGCCCCAGTTCACAAGAAAGATTAACTAGAGACAGAATCACAAAGAAAAGTATAGGAAAAACAAGTAACTCCTTTAATCTTAAAACTCTTAAGGTTTTCATATTACAACATAGAATAATATTCGATTTTTCAGAAGTTTGACTCTAAACCATCAAGAAAAAAAAATTATACTCTAATATAGTACAAAAAGAGCAGAAGGTAACATTTACCAGAAAGTGACAAAAGGGGTAATTCATGTGCCCTGAAGAAAGACAATGTTCTACTCTTAAGAAAATGTGAAAATACAACTGAATGAAAAATTTTTTCTATTGAAATAGTTTCCAGAGATATGACAACATCAAGAGATGTAATAAAGCTGGAAAAAAGGTTTAAAGAAAAACACACATTAATAAAGAAATACAGAGTTATAGAAGAAAAAGGAATTGAATTTTATAGTCTGGGGCAATGTAACTGGTGACAGTGACATGAAGGAAGTCACTTAGAATAGTAACACTGCTATAATTTAGAAGTTATAAAGCCTTTTCAAATTGTGGAAGTCTAACATGGGAGTTCACAGACTGTCTCTCCAGAATGCTCTTTAAAAGAAAACAACAAACTGTATGAATCCTCAGAGATGATGCACAAAGTGAATAAAAATGTGTGGCTATTTATATGTGAAATATATAAATCTAAAAGTACTCTTCTATAAATCCAGATCATATTAACAGTAAGATATTGAGACTGATGGGAGATATTTATTTCAGTAATATATTCAATAGTTGAAAGAAGTTGTAAGTTAAAAACATATAGATACATATGCACAAATGTAAGGCCAAAGTAAATACCTCATTAGGGTAATGTTTCTTATAATGGTGTGACTTTCTATTCCGAAGAATGCTCTCTGAAGTCCTGTCTGCATGACGGCGCAATGGGTATCCTGTTTCTGGACCTTCTTCACTGGAGACTTCATCAGAGACATTTGTTACTGTCCTTTGGGGATCCTAAGTTAGAAGTATGCAAAGAGGATCATTGGTAATTTGTGACTAAACCTGTAGCTTTAAAACTGCAAAACTTTAAATTATACATACATATATACACATACCTTCAAACACATCTAAAAATGTCAAAGTAACTGATTAATACCACCTGATTTTCTAAAAAATGTCTTAAATCAGTGATTTTGGTACTGTTCTTTTAAGAGTAACTCAACAGTCTTTTATCAAATATTGTCCTACAACGTTTCTGTTCAAAAGATTTGAAATAGCTTATAAAATTATGAGAACATAAAATAGTATAAAAGTAGAAAAGAGACCCTTTAAAAGAAGCTGAGAGACCTAAAATGAATTTACTATTTTCACAAACCAAAAATGCCATAAAACCAGCCCTGATTTAATAATGGTTTACAAGGCAAGAGGAGGTGACTGGTAGCCAAATGAAACACACATCAGACAGACAACATCATGTACACATTAAGACACCCAGATTTCAGAAATTCTGAAACCAAGAGACTTCAGAACAGATACTTTATTGATAGTTTCATGTTCCTCTTATAGAATGTTAGTAGGTAATACATACCTGGAAATATGTTTGAAAACTGCATGACTAAAAACTTCATTTGTTGAGACATGCTAGTGATGCTAGGTTCACATTACCAGAGAGTTAAATGCCTCAAAAATCTAAAATTACGGTAAGGGACTCTATTTTACTGCCACTCCATGATATTTATTATACAGCTACAGGTACTGAAAATATATGTACTGTCAAGCAATAGCACATACTTTACTCAAATAGAGACTCCTCTTTTCTTCATTTACTATTCCTCAATACCCACATTCATGCTTATATTTCTAAATGTAACTAAGGTATTATCTTTTAATTTGACCACATTTTTTTCTCTGTAACAGCTTTTAAAGAAAAAAATTATTTAACCAAAAAATCTCAGGGAAATGAAGAGAAAGAAGATATTTATAATAGGCTATGTTACAATAAACCTAGGGTTTCTTTTAGAAAAGTAAATAAACAATTGTTATCCTTAAATATTTTCTCTGTAAGAATTTTAAAAAACAAAACAAATGTGCTGACACCAAAGGTCACAAAAGTAGGAAAAACAAAGTAAGATTTTCTTATAGAGAACATTAAAGGAAAACCAGGGTCCCAGGTTAAGCTTTTAGATTAACACAGATCTTCCATTTGAAACAAATTCATTTACACATATGGAAATAGAGAAATAAAAAGTAAGGTTTAAGGAACATTATATATAAATTTAAATCTAATTTAACATTTTAGAAAAATTGGAGTCAATCAATTAATTTAGAAGGTGCCAGGTTATAATGGAAATCAGGCTTATTCACACTACTTTATCTATTTTCAGCATTATCAGTGTGATTTGTAAAGGCTCACAGAATAAATTCTGGAGAATATATATACACTCAAGGGTAACTACTATGTCTAAGTCACTTTCCATTAACTAATGTAAAATCACACAAAGTATTATTATTTTTTTTAATCACACTCACTTTGCTGGGGATATTCCTCAGTGTTCCGGTGTTCCAGGTTGCCTCTTTTGGTCGAAGAGTTTCACACTCAGGTTCATGGCTTTGTATTCCATCTTCGCTGCTTTTAACAGTCTTTTTCCCATCAAGGGATACATAGCCATTGTCAGTCTCAGTTGATTTATCAATTGAATTCTTTGCTTTCTTTGATCTAAAAAGAAAGATATGTGAAACATGTTATATGGACTTAGTTTATTTTGGATAAGTTACCAGTAGAAATTACAGTCTGCTAAAAATTAAACATGGTAGCTATTTCTCAGATTTTAATTGCTATCTTATATTTACAATAAGTAATTCAGAAATATAATATCTATCATAAAAATAAACATGAAAATCAAAGTCCTATTTTACCTTACTTTATAAGTTTTAAGGTTTTACAAACAGCAATTCTAAGAGACATGCCCTAACTTACCAAACAATATTTGGTCAAAATCAACCAGTCTTTTAGCAAAACCTAGGATCAAAATTTTGCCCATTTTATTATGGTTAATAATATACTTTTAAAGACTAATTAAAAAAAAACTACCTCAGTAATTACAAAATTAAGTTACAATTAGTGGTTTAACTTAATTTTAATACTGTCCTTTACCCAAACACTTTATCATAAGTGTGGATACCTAAACACCTCTGATAAATTCATTTTAATACACAAGGGAGACACGGGACCTTTTGTAACATAAAAGCACATGGAAAAAGGGAAAACTTGGTACAAAATTTTACATAATGGAAGAGGTAAAAATGAAGAACACAAAGAGAAAGAAGTAACCTCTTTCACCCACTGAAATACTCCAGAAAAAAATATCAGTAATCATGTAGCTTACAAGTATCTAAAAGACTACACTTGAGGTTCTTCATTTACAGGAATTAAGTTTTTCTCAATACATAATATGTAACATGGAAAATAATAAATAATTTTTGATTAATAGGCAAATGCCTGAGGGATCCAGCGGGTGAAAGAATGGCTATCCAAAAGAAATGGTTAGTAGAAGAAATACAACGCAAATCCCACACAAACTTTAAATGTGCTCAATGCAGATTACGTCTATCATAAAATATTATTAAAAAGCAATTGTGTCTAATTGTATTCAAAATAAATTCCCTTGAATTTTCTCCAGAGTATCCGTTTTGTAAGACAGGAACAATAAAACTAGTACAATGCCTTCATGTAGGTCAAAAAACAGAAGAACTTTTAAATGGGGGGGGGGGGTAATGTTTCTTTGGGGAAAAATGTTCTTTAACACTACAGTTGCTCAGTTCTATTGGAATCTATCAGAACTGTACAGGACACTGTAACTCATCTATGCTAAATGCTCACTTTGGAAACAATACATCAGAAATAAAAAGAGGTCTAGATGATTAATTTAAGGTCACACAGCCAGTTAGAGACAAAGTTGACATCAGAACACAGACCTTCTGACTGAGGTTTATTCTCTATATGATCTCCAACAGCCCACTCGGGGAAACCGCCTGTTAGAATTTCTTCTTAACACACTCAAAGCCTAGAAAGTTTGTCTTACACTTCCGACCTTCTCCTGCAAGATTACGAAAGGGGACAGACAGATCATCCCTCCCATGTGCTCTACAGAGCTCCAATGCATCCTTCCTGGTCACAAAGAACAGATCTTCACAAAGGTGCAAGACCCAATGCCCAATCACCTCACCCTTTTCTTTCTGTATGACCCTAAGAGGCACAGAGAGACTATGGGCATGCACTACAGAACAAAGATCCTTTAAGCATGGCAGACGCAGGGAGGAAAATGTACTGTGGGAGAGAGGAGAGACAGGGCGAAAGAGAAAATAAAAGGTGAGAGAACACCTGTAACCTTCTCTGCCTAGAGAAATGTCATTTACTGTTCCCTTTACCTCTCCCTTGAACACTGTGCAACATGGAGATGTAGAAAAATACCAAAAGAAGTGAAATTACTTGACCTTATAAGAATGTGGGAAACTCAGACAGTGAAAGAGTGTGCTGGAAAGGTATTATGAAGTTTCACGGAAATTGTACTAGGTTGGAAAGGGAGGAGTAAGGCCATGAATAAGAGGGAAGGAGACTGGAAAGTTAGTAGAATAGAGTTATTAATCAGCCAGGATATGCAAGGAGAGAAATTTATTCGAGAAGAAAGATGAAAATGTTGGAGCTAAAGTGCCCAGGAACATCCTGAGAAAGATCAGTAGACAGTTGATAACATAGGCCTAGAAGACAATTGTCAAAGCGGAAAAAGTAGCTGTAACCTTGAAGAGTGACCCAGAACCCCAAAGGATCAAAAGATATGAACCTAGGAAAAGGGCTTGAATCTGTAATAATGGCTGCTTTAAAAATGTTTCTAAGGAGAATGTATTCTTTCTTTACCAGGACAAAGTAAAGACTGTATTAAGCCAAGAGAAAGAGTTCTAGTAGCACTCATTCCATATACCTTTCAGCTATCTCCTACTTCCTCTCTTATCTCTGCCTCCTTCCAATTTTCTCTGGGCGGTTTCTCCCAACATCTCCTCAAATTATAAGTAATGCTGTCAGAGGTATGAACAGTAATTTACTAAGCTACAGTAGCTATTTGATATTTCTCTCACACTAAATGCACATAAGTTGAAAATCAAGCTGAAATAACAAAGAAAATACTAAATGTAAGTACCAACCTCAGGGTTTACAAAGCAGCTTAAAATACAAATTGAGGCATCCTGGTAGTGGCTGATAACAGCAGGGGTAATAAAAGAGTTGCAAGAGCATAGAGTAGTTGGAATGGAACAGCAGGAGTCACCCAGCAACAGACAATAATGGCAACTAATTTGAAGGCAGTTTTAGGGCAGGGGGCAAGGTGCAGCCCAGAGGACTGGAGACGGGCTATCAATACACACAGAGGATTAATTAAATAAGTATATTGAGGACTGGAACCAGGTTTTTCAGTGACAGAGAATGAAAATATGAAGAGGAGAAAAGATACAATAAGCTTTGTGGTACTGTATCTGAACTGGAACTATCTCTGAAAATTCATGGCTTATATCTAGACAAAGAAATAAATATAAATGTAAAAGGACACACACACACACACATACACACACACTTTCTAGATCTTCCCACTGAGAAGGCTGCAGGGTGGCAACACCACAACAGCAATGAGTGTATCCAGCATTCAGAGCTTAGTTTCCACACACGACTCTCCTTGAAGAAGCAGTTCATTCCAAGCCTGAGGAAAAGAAAGTACAAGTTGAACCTGGAAACATTTTGTTGTGCCAAAAAGTAAGGAACGGTTCAGAAAATGACAAGGAAATCCCCAAAAGAAAAGAAACTGCTCTAAAGTATCCCCTGGCCAAACTGAAGTCAATCTAATCATCCAAATAAAAAATGACAATAACAAATTGAAAAAATAAAAATCCCTAAGTAAATGGTTAAGGGAAAGCTCTTCCTTAAAATGAATGCTAAATAATAAATGTAGAAGGAAATGATGCAGTTAGAAAAATTACCATTTGGCAACTACCATAACTCAAGCAAAAACCATCAATGGATGCTAAAACTAGAAAGTGAAGGTGGGATGAGAAACGGGTCATTTTTATAGTTAATGTATCTCCACACAGGATATTTGTTGACTACAAAGGAGAAGTATATAAATTTACAGTGGAGAAATTTAGCTGCTGCTGCTACTGCTAAGTCGCTTCAGTCGTGTCCAACTCTGTGTGACCCCACAGACGGCAGCCCACCAGGCTCTGCCGTCCCTGGGATTCTCCAGGCAAGAACACGGAGTGGGTTGCCATTTCCTTCTCCAGAAATTTAGCAGACACTATCTTAATCAAGTGATTCACATAAATATCACTAGTGAGGAACAAATTACGCTGTTTGCCACCTGATAGTACACAATGATATTCCTACCAAAAATGTGGAACTGGGTTTAAATATGAAGAAATATCACACAGCTAACTCAGTGGTGCGCTGCTAACTGTTGATCAACCAGCTATCCAGGTGTAAAAAGTCCTTGTCTGTAGTGTCCTCTGATTTCCATGGTGTAGATAATCCTACCATGACCAATTTCAAGTACCAACTGATGATGCTGAAGACAGCATAGGGAAGAGATATACACTGAGCTCTCATGAGTCACCTGGAACTAGAAGCAGAAAACCACTGCATCAAATGCACAAACCCACACTAAGGGATATTCTACTAAGTGAATGCCCTGTATCTTCCAAACTGAAAAACATGAAACTTGAGGAAAGACTGAAGTCTGTCCCAGAGTGAAGGAGACTAAAAAGACATGACCCCTGAGTGTGGCATATGATCCCAGATTAGATCCTTTTGCTGTAAAAGATATTAATAGGGACAATTAACAGAACTGAACTGGGTCTCTGGGTGAAAAATATATGGGAGTTCTTTGCACTGTTCTCTCAACTTTTCTAATTATTAAATAACAATTGTTAAAGTTGTTTCAAAGTAAAATTATGTATTTTTAAAAGTACAAACTGATTACTTTAGATTTTAACACAGGAGAAATGCAGGAAGGAGAAAATGTAGGAGAGCTAAGTTAAACAAAAATGTAGATTAAAGAAGGTAAAAAATGTAGGTTAAAGAGGTTAAACCTCCAGGCAAGGTTTAATTTTCCCACTGATTGCTATATCATTCATACTGTCATTAATAGTTGAAAGTAAGAACTTCACAGAATAATAATTTCTCAAAAGGAACACAGATTACCAAGACTCAGATTTTAAGGAATTCCTCCCATTTCTTTACAAAAGATAATAAAACTGTTAGGGAAAGACAATGGGAGTGACATTCAGTTTTTAAAAAAAGATAACTATGAAATTCTACTTAGAATATATTTTTTAAAGGGAAGTTACTTCTACTTAAGACAACTTTAAAATATGTTAAAAAATAAATTGAAGGGAGTTAAATATCATTTTTCTTCCTTTTTCTTTTTTTGGGGGGATCATTTAGTAGAAGTCCCTCTTTTACAGGAGATAATTTAGTCAGTTTATTATTTTTTGTCAATATTAATAGCACATTGATTTTAAAATAAACACATGTATATAAATCATCATTTCCTACCAAAATCAAAAAGCAGGGTAGAAAGAATCTAGCTAGGAATTAAAATCCTACAGTATAGAAAGAAATGGGAGCTTTTTACTATTATCTACAAAAAGATCTTACCTTTTGATAGCTACATTTAAATCATATAATACAATCACCTAATAAAATCAGAGTTAACAATGGGCAGTAAGGTTAGTATCTTAAAAGAGGAGATATACAAGTCTTTACTAATTTTACTTACTCCACAATAGAAGTGGTATTTCTTGCATTTGGCCTTTTTTAATTGAAGTATTGTTGATGTACAATATTATTTTAGCATCAGCTGTAACAATATAGTGGTTCAGCATTTATATATTGCTGCACTGGATTCTGAACAAAAAGCATTTGCAATGACAGAATGTGCAATTTCGATGCCATGGTCATGGCTTATAAAGGTGCTAATAACTAATAAACACTTTCGGAAGGCATGACCTGTGTAATACTTTCTTTGAAGTATCATGCTTGACGTTCAAAGGAGGTAGCTCTATGTCAAAAATATCTTAGGAGGACATGACTTTAATTGCCTTAGTTCCTCCGTGAGACACAGTGGGAGACAATTTGGTTCTTTTCTGAAAAAAATGTAAATAAATTTTGTACATGTACGATCTACACCATAAATAAATGATGAAACTAAATATTTTCACATTAAAACTTTGGCCAAAAAGTCAACACAACTTTTAAAGAACTACTTAGCTTATGAAATATCCAATCTACTATGCCAAACATGAAACTTACTATGTTTCTATATTAAAAAACCTAGTCAGGTAATCAAGAACACTCAGAATACTCTGTACTGCTACGGGAAAAAAAAATGTTGGAACTATTTTTTTGGTGCTCTCAAAACTATTCAGAGGTATATAAACTGAGCCAACTGAAGATCATGCTGTCGGTACTAAAGGACATTAGACATGCTAAGGAAAAAGTTAACAGCAGCAGGTAACTCTGCTCTAGGACACAGTATGAAATTCCTGGTCCTGCTCTCATTTGCACACGGTTAGGAATTAAGGGGGAGAGAAAGTTATAGAAACAAAATGCATAAAACCTCAGATATAAAAGAATGACATAGGGGTCTATTACAACCATCACTGCTATCTGGATCTATGACTACACCTTGATTACATGCTAACATACCCCTTTCAAAGACTCTGGGGACCCTATGTTTCTCGAGGTATCCTCTATCACAAATAAGTTTGAGAGGTGTGCCAAATTATTTATAGTTTATTATTATAGTTTATTTATAGTACCTGTAATCTTTCTAGATCAATCCAACTCTAAAATACACTGACACTAGCAAATTTAATAAGTTATCTAGTTGTGTCCATAAGATAGTCTTAAAAATCTCGAAAAAGCCAGAATACACTGGCTTTTACATGGTCTTCATCCTTATCTGTGAAAGACATGCAACATAGCTTCACCCAATCGACAGCTTAAACAACTGAACTATTTCAGCTACAGTCAGTAAAAGCCAAGTTTTAATCCCTGTATCTAAAATTTCTGGCGGGACTGCATACTACTTACACTATGCAGTATACTCCTTTATGTGAAGAAAATCAATTTATTAAACCTTTAATTTTCACTTTGGTGTTAAAAACAGTACATATGGAAGCTAAACAGAACAGAACACTTCAAGGTAGGTCAGTTACGCAGAGGAGTTAACATGTAACCTGGTTTTATTCTGCTGTCTCTAACTTACCAATTATTTATATAATTACTTTTTCTACTCAAAAGCGTAATTCCAAATGCTTTTGTTTTAATGATATTGTGATAGCCAAATGAAATCTTAAAAGACATGAAAGAGAACTTAGGATCTATCTGAATTTTGAAACAGGTACCATGCTAAAGAGATGTACAACTTAGATGCAATTCTTCATATTTAATCTTTCTATAATTATGCCAATTTAAGACTATAACTAACTGATAGTAAACTGCTAAGTCCTTAGGAAATATGACTGACTTGTGTATCTTTCTAATTGATATTTTGTCTGGCTCAGTTTTCTCAGGTTTACAGAATCCCTTTACAATAATTCTCAATTCTTTTCAAATGAGAAATATTATGCCTTACTTTATTTTTTTATTTTGTTTTAGTCTTAATTTTTTTCCCAGTTATTTTTATTAGTTGGAGGCTAATTACTTTACAATATTGTAGTGGTTTTTACCATACATGAATCAGCCTATGCCTTTCTTTAAAAAGAAAAGTTGTATCTAGAAAATGAAATATACTTGCAAATGACATTAATAAGTAGTGCCTAACATAAATACAGGGTATTAAAAATACAGTTTTCATTGTAACATCCAGAAAACCATCAACTCACCAAACACAGGGCTTAGATATTTGTGTGATTATGCATTTATTTTTCCATCAGTTATGCTAATTCAACTTGTTATCACCAGAAACAACTTTAAATCTCGGTTGGTATTTCAGTTTAAGCACTCTGTGATTTATCAAAGCCTGAAAGACCAAGACATCATCAAGATTCCAGAACTCAGTTTAGAACTTTTGAAATTAACATTTTTCTTAAGATCTTTTTATACCCAGTATTTAAAACAGTCTCATTCATATGCTGGCAAATGATCCCAAATGAGACAGTTCAAAATAGTACTTCTTTAAAAACAGTCAGATTACAGTTGTCATGATTAAAGGGAATAAATCCAAAAGGATTTAGCCATTATAATATCAATAACTAGGAGTCAAAGTATGGTACAGCTCCAAAAGATGAAAATTAAAGTCTGAAACTCATTTGACTAGAAAAACATGGCAGAATTCTAAAGGCATGAACTAAGTTAGGAGGATTCTGAATACTATATATTAATACAACACCAGTTTCAAATGACCAATATCTAAATGAGCCCCTCAAAGCAAAACATATCTACTATGCCATTGATACTTGCTTACAGAAAGTCTTGAGAAACATTTAAAAAATTGATTCTGCAGTGATAAAGCTATCATATTTCCACTGTCAGAAATTAGACATATTTATTTATATTCATAAAATTCTCCAAGCTAGGCTTCAACAATACATGAACTGAGAACTTCCAGATGTTCAAGCTGGATGTAGAAAAGGCAGAGGAACCAGAGATCAAATTGTCAACATCCACTGGATCATGAAGAAAGCAAGAGTTCCAGAAAAACATCTGCTTCAGGGACTAAGCTAAAGCCTTTGATTATGTGGATCACAACAAACTGTGGAAAATTCTTAAGAGGATGGGAATACCAGACCACCTTACCTGCCTCCTGAGAAACCTGTATATGGGTCAAGAAGCAACAGTTAGAACCAAACATGCAACAACAGACTGGTTGCAAATTGGGAAAGGAGTATATCAAGGCTGTGTATTGTCACCCTGGTTATTTAACTTATATGCAGAGTACATCATAAGAAATGCCAGGCTGGCTGAAGCACAAGCTGGAATCAAGATTGCCAGAAGAAATATCAATAACCTCAGATATGCAGATGACACCACCTATATGACAGAAAGCGAAGAAAAACTAAAGAGCCTCTAGATGAAATTGAGAGAGAGTGAAAAAGCTGTCTCAAAACCCAACATTCAGAAAACTAAGATCATGGCATCCGGTCCCATCACTTCATGGCAAATAGATGGGGAAACAATGGAAACAGTGACAGACTTTATTTTGGGGGGCTCCAAAATCACTGCAGATGGTGACTGCAGTCATGAAATGAAAAGACACTTGCTCCTTGGAAGAAAAGCTATGACCAACCTAGATAGCATATTAAAAAGCAGAGACATTACTTTGCCAACAAAAGTCCATATAGTCAAAGCTATGGTTTTTCCAGGAGTCATGTATGGATGTGAGAGTTGGATTATAAAGAAGGCTAAGTGCTGAAGAACTGATGCTTTTGAACTGTGGTGTTGGAGAAAACTCTTGAGAGTCTCTTGAACTGCAAGGAGATCCAACTAGTCAATCCTAAAAGAAATCAATCCTGAACATTCATTGGAAGGACTGATACTGAAGCTCCAATACTTTCACCACCTGACGTGAAGCGCTGACTCATTAGAAAAGACCCTGATGTTGGGAAAGATTGAAGGCAGGAGGAGAAGGGGACAACAGAGGATGAGATGGTTGGATGGCATCACTGACTCGATGGACTTGAGTTTGAGTAAGCTCCGGGAGTTGGTGATGGACAGGGAAGCTGGTGTGCTACAGTCCATGGGGTGGCAAAGCGTCAGATGACTGAGCAACTGAAGTGAACTGATATAAAATATGTATTTTCTAGAAGACTAAGTGGTTGAAAAGTCAGAGAATCAACTTAATGCCACATTACTGAAAATTATTAAAATTTGTGAAAATTTCTCCCCAAATTACTGTCAATGAGAATATGCCCAGGATATAAGCTGATTAATTAGATAATTAATTACATGCACTATAATTATATAGTGCATGATAAACTTTATCATAAGAACACAATCACAAATTGATAAAACAATGATACAAGCAGAGAAGTTACCAGAAGTGACTGAAAATAAGTTACTTGCAGTATCCCTTTTCTTGACTTATTAACTTAGCAATTTTCATCAGTTTTTATTATGGCACAAACTAAATAAAAAACCCAAACTACAAAAAACAGAATCTGGTATTATAGTATATATTTTATTCTTTCAAGTAACAGTACATATACCTATACCTATATGTTTTATTTCAGATAATTTTAGGTAATTGAGGCAGATTTTTTTAAAAATGTCATACAACTCACATGCTATATTAACAAAGCCAATTTGTCCTATAGTGCTGATGAAGATTAAATAAGCAGCTTAATAGAAACAAAATAGTACTTGAGAAATCACAAAAGAAACTAAAATAAAAAAATACTAACTAAATATACTTTGATAGTATATATTCATTCTCATACAGATGTACTTATACATATATGTAAATATACATTTACATATATATGTGTTTATCTCAGAGTGAATTTTATGGTCTCTATTTTTTCCACTATATATAGCTTTATAATTTATAAAAATAAAATCCACAATAGGACTGTCATACTCAAAATCATTAGTATGCACTAATTAAGACTGTAGTGCCAAAAAAGGAACAGTGCATTTTTAAGCCATAGGAAGTCTTGAATAAATACAAACCCTGATAAAAAGAAAGCAGCATGCCAGAGATCTCTGAAGACAGCGCCAACGCTGTAAGAGGTGCTTGTACCGTGGCTCTGAACTGCTCCCTCCTGTGTGTTATCTGTGGTACTAGAACCATCTCCTTCCCTATGTACTTCCAAATGGGCTGCTTTTCTTAATTTCCTTCATTAGAAGAGATTAAGAGTGGAAGGTAACTTTAAATTTTAATAACCACTTTCTCGACAGTACATTTAAAAATTCAGAAAACATAAACACAAGAACTCTAATACACAGTAAAATTCAGGTTGATGCATAAAAGTTATGCCAAATATTAAGTACATATTCAAGACCAGTTTCTATAAGTGTTAAGTTATTGTTTCTTGCTCATACTGACAAGTCAGTGGACACGAGGTTGTAAGGATAGCACTAGGCAGATTATTTACAAAAGTACCCCTTCCCTATTGGAATGCTACTTATTTGCAGATGAAGAAGAAAATTAAAATTGGAGAGACTTATAATCTATCTGTTCAGCAGTGCTACTTATCTAATTAGGTTGTGTTTTTTTTTTTTTAAAGAGCTTAAATCAATATTCCAAAATGGCAAATGTCACAATCTCTTAGCAACAACATTCAAAAGAGAAATTGTTCCCAAAGACCCTTAAAACAGAACTTCATTGTGCTAAGTGGCCAGTGAGACTTGCTATGCTTACTTAATCAAAGGGCAATATTAAACAGCTTCAAATGACATATAATAAATGGAATTTAGCTAAAAAATTTCCTTGACTTTTGTTTTTGCCAAAGCATCTTTTAAGTACAAGGTTCTGTACTAGTGGAAATTATTAGCAATTCCAACTAACATATATTCCCTATATTGATATCACGTGCCTCAGCAATGAGCTTCAAGAAAGAAAAGAAAAACAAACAGGTATGGGGTCTCAAAATGGCTCTGAAGCAAATAGAAGAAACTAAATTATTCAACAGCTGATTCTGAAGCTCACTGTTTCAAGATAACATTTCATTCAAGTCAAGAACAATCCTTGATTCAAATTACAGAAATCTACAAAAAGATCACTTTTAAACAGACAGTACCTTCTTCTTTTACCCCCTGTACTTAGCGGAGGTTTGGGTGTTCTTGTTGAAACAATCTGACAGTGCACAGTACCTAGGAGCAGCATCAGCCATACTGGCTCAATCACTTCCGTCAGAGGTATGCTATGTGGGCTAGAAGCCGAACAGAATAATACTACTGCGGCAACTACAAAAAGGGAAAGAAATACATTTAATTATAGATTTGACAGTCATGTCCTCAAAACTTTAAAAAAACTTTAAAAAACTGTTCTAACATTGTTGTTTGCCAGATTATTTTTCTAAATTAAATGAGTATAAAAGTTACTTCAGACAAGCTCTTCAAGACTTGTTTGCCCCTGGCTAATCATGCCATTCAGAAATAAACTCTTGGAACAAAGTAACAGCCAACATGGTCTCTAAAGTACACACCTTAACACTGCAATGAAAACTAGATCCATACAAATCTAAAGGCATTCCTAGTAAGATCACAGACACCCCCTCCTTAAAGGAAAAGGGGGACATATAAAGAAATAACTAAAACCCCTGTAATGAACCGAATTGTGCCCTCCACCCTCATTCTGTATGTTAAAGTCCTGACCCCCAACATGACTATCTTAACAGATAGGGCCTATATGATGCAATGAAGGTTGAATAAAATCATAAGGGTAGGACCTTAATCCAAAAGGACCAGTACTCCAATAAGAGCTAGAGGTACCAGAAATCTCTTTCAGCTCATGCACAGAATAAAGGCCATGTGAGGATACTGCAAGAAGGCAGCCACCTACAAGACAGGAAAAGAAACCTCTAACAGACACCAACCCTAACAGCACCTTGATCTTAGACGTCCAGCTTCCATAACCATAAGAATATGAATTTGTGCTGTTTAAGCCACTCAGTCTGTAGTATTTTATTGTAGCAGTCTGAGTAGACTAACAGAATATCTATGACACATAAAAAAGATATGTAAACTGGAGAGGTATGAAGGAATTCTAATGCCTAATTCTCAAAAGTTAATAACTCACAGTGTAAGTAGTGGACTAAGTAAACAAAAGGGGAAAGGGCTACACAGGCAAAAAAGAGTTACCCCCAAAACATACAGGTTACCAAAAAAGACACAGAATGTTTAAGCAACAGCACAGAACCAGTTTAGTTTGGTTAAAGTTGAGAAATTTAAGAGACTGACTGAAAAACTGGCTCTTTATCTTGAAGGCAATGACAATTAAGATTTAGAACTTGAGTGGCTGATTTATATTTGTAATGTAAAAGGTAAATGTGTGTGTGTATGTTCAGTCACTACGTCGTGTCTGACTCTTGTGACCCCATGGACTGTAGCCCCCCAGGCTCCTCTGTCCATGGGATTTCCCAGGCAAGAATACTGGAGCGGGTTGCCATTTCTTTCTCCAGGGGATCTTCCTGACCCAGAGATCAAAACCATGTCCCCTGAAAGGCAGGTGGATTCTTTACCACCAAGCCACCAGGGAAGCCCAAAAGGTAAATGGACAGAAAGTAAAAGACATAAGGGCTCTTGGCAGTGATCCAGGAGAGAAATGACATAATAAGGATGAAGCTGAAAATATATAGTTGATATACTTAAAAGGCATGTGACTGAAGTGAAAAACTGTAGTTATGTAAAACCCAGTCTGACCGCACACGATTCTTTCTACTCTCAGGACAAGAAGGTGGGACAGAGAACGAGGACACAATTAAGAGCACTACACTCTGCTCGATATGCAGAGGCGGAAGCACAGGGGCTTCCTCAGGCACTCAGACTGCTGGGGGTTTGTCTTATCGCGGCTTTGTCACTGGCTGCGTGACTTGAAACACTTTAAACTAGGCTTTTAAACCAGGGAAAATTTCAGTTGCCAACACTAAAAACACTAATAACATTAAACTTCAGTTTGGAACTGAAAAATATCTGTTTTTCATGCTTGATCTAAGCTATGCTCCTTATTTAATTTAGGCAAGCCAACATGTGAATTTCAGCCACAATATGCGACCTTCTAATTACACTGGAAACTTGTCTGTCCTCAAATACAATAAAGCAATAATATCAAAAAAGTACAAGGCACAGTGGTTACAGTGAATGGTACTGATTAATTATTATTCTAATAAGCAATTGCAATTTCTGACCACTTTAGAATAAAGTGTTCTCTAGGTAAACTAGAAAACATTGGAGGATAACTTCAAGTTCACTCCCTCTTAAGTATATAAGATATACACAAGCTTAAAGAAAGACTTTCTGGTGGTTCGGACAGTAAAGTGTCTGCCTACGACATGGGAGACCTGGGTTCGATCCCTGGGTCGGGAAGATCCTCTGGAGAAGGAAATGGCAACCCACTCCAGTATTCTTGCCTGGAAAATCCCGTGGACGGAGGAGCCTGGTAGCCTATAATCCACGGGGTCACAAAGAGTCAGACACAACTGAGTGACTAAACTTAAAGAAATAACTTAAAATCTTTCATTTTTATTGTTTTCATTTACTTAAAAGATATTATCTTTTACTTAGTATTTTTGATAGAAAGAAAGTGAAAGTCGCTCTTTGCGACCAACTGTCCAACTCTTTGCGACCCCATGGACTGTACAATTCATGGAATTCTCCAGGCCAGAATACTGGAGTGGGTAGCCGTTCCCTTCTCCAGGGGATCTTTCCAATCCAGGGACTGAACCCAGGTCTCCCGCATTGCGGGCGGATTCTCTACCAGCTGAGCCATGAGGGAAGCCCCTCAGGATTACAATTGTGTTAACAAAAAAATAAGATATTAAAAACACTAAAAGGGAATCAACCAAATTAAAATTGTTGTTTTGTGAGAGTGATAGAAATGTGAGCAATTTCTTCTTTTAGGCTGTAAATGCTCTAGAGTGTTGTGCATTTTGCACTGTATACTGTTGCTGTGACTGTGCCCTGGAACACTGCTGTGCTGGGGTGCAATGTTACAGAGGTATTAAGCGTGTGCTTCTGAAGTCAGACTGCTTAGACTTGAACCTGGACTGCCACACCTGCTGAGTATATAACTTTGGACCTGCAGGTCCTTCAGGTCCCATGTCTATAGGCTAGGCATACTAATAGTACCCATGCTTCACTGGATGGTTGTATTAAATGAGCATCTGTGACAAGCTCTTAGAGCAGTACATGGTACACAGAATTACACAGAATTTTAATACAGAATGAGGACAGTCTCAGAACACTGTGGTTAAGAGGGAAAAAAAAGAATACTGCTGAGAAAGGAAGAATTAACCTTAAGGCTTCATTAAAAAAAAGACTCGTGTGTCCATATATGTAGGGGTACATTTGGAAGAGATTCTGTAATTTCTAAAAATCCTCTCAATTTGTATTTTTCTTTAGCAATACACATTCAAATTATAATAAAATTATTTTGGAAAATAACTACTTTGCTTTCTTAAACATTTTTAATCCCAAACTATTTGTATCTTACTAAGTCAAGTATCACTATAAACTTTTTTTCTATACTCGGAAGTAGTATATTTTAAAAATAACAAAGCCTTAGTAATCCTAACCAAAAAAAAAAAAAAAATGCTGAAAGTTAAAAGCAAAATGCATTTCTTTCATTTAGTTGTACCTTGAAGAAGATAAAGGACTAGAAGCCAGAAAAAGATGACTTTTGATGTTACTTGTAACCACCACCGGAAGAAAAAGGGAAAAAATACAACTCGAACAATTCCCTTTCTAGTCAAAGAAGTCCATGGACTTTCAGGTTTTGCCTTAGCAAATGCAGACCCTAAGAAAAGTAATGCAAAATGAAAGACAGCATTTATTAGTTTTTAATTTCCTTAAAGAAAAAAATTTCAACATCTGAAGAACAATACAACATGTTATTTCTTTTGTACTATGGGTGTCAACTGTCCAACTGTGGGTAGGAAACATTTTTAAAAACATCACACATGCCATGCCATTATATTGACTCAGGTACTTTGAAAAGACCTATTTTTAACTGAAATAACAGCAAAATTTCTCCTACATATTTTATAAATACAAGACAATTTTCAAACATCAGTTTCAGTTAGGAATTAAAAATACCACTTTAATGTTTATAACAAGCTTTATAGTTTGCTAAGCAAATACAAGCTGCTTTTCTTTTACACTTATTACTTGGAATGATTTTTAGTGAGAGAAAAGACTAGTCAATGGTATTTAAAGGTCTCCACTCTCTCTTTTTTAATACTACTTCTAACTTCATTTAGCCTCACATTGCTTTTATTCCTACAAACATATATATCTAACCCATTTTGAACTCTGTTCCTTTGAGGACAATTTCTAATTTCATTAAATATTTGGTTATTCAAGACTCACCTCTTACAAGATCGACATCTATGAGGTCTGGTTTCACATGTGCTGTTTTCTTTGGTTTATTCCTTAACCCCTGTAACATATTAAAAGTAGTATTGGTAAGAGACTGGATCTTAAAGTTCTTATCACAAGAAAAAAAATATGTAAGCACGTATGGGGATGATTATTTAAACTAGACTTACTGTTGGGATCATTTCTCAATATATACAAATATCTAATTACTATGTCTTACACCTGAAACTAGTATGTTATATGTCAATTTTAACTCAGCAAAAAAGTAGTATTGAAATTCAACACATGTACATTTTTAATACCCAAAATCAATGCCTAAATATTTCGATTAAGAAGAAAAACTTTAAGCAATATAATGTACAAAAACTATCACATATATTTGTGACAAACGGAACACAACAGTAGTGTAATGAATTTTATTATTTCCAAAAGGATAACTTTAGGGATGTATGTAACACATGGGGTCTGTTTATTACGAAAAGCATAATTTTAAAACAATGACTATCACCACCAATTCAGATGTACAGCCTGAGATGGCCCTTGTTTTGAGGAGACTGAGGTGGCCCTTGTTTTGCACAGGGAAGTTCTGAAGCTGGCTGGGACAACAGTGGCCCTAAAGGGCCTTTAAGGTGTGATGCCGGAGGCAGTGCTGAAGAGAACAGTGGTCAGAGTTGAGGACAGACAGGAATGCAGACTTCTTAGCAGGTGCCAACATGTAGGGTGAGACCAGAGAGGACAATGCACATCTCAGGGCTGCCACTATCTTCACATGCCAACCACTAACCAGACCACAATGCTACCTTATCACCTCATAGCTAAGATGCCATGCCCAGGAGGAGGAAGGAGAAGGCAGAAATCATGAAATGAATTAGTTTCAACTTGAAATTACTGAACACTAAGATTAAGTTTCTGCATCAGTGTATCAAGTTAGAGTAGGAGTAGAGATCAAAATCAACCAAAAAAAAAATAAAAAAATAAATTACACTTTATAACTTAAGACTAGGATGTTAAGAATTGGAGGAGCCCAGGCTAAACTCCTTGGAATCCAAGTGCTGAGAGATGACCTAGTGTTTCAAAGACTTGTTTATTGTTCATTCAGTTAACCAAGTAACTATAAAGTAAATCCTTTGTTTAGTCCTGATCTAAGTAATAATGACTCCTTAAAATAAAAATTTAATCAAGTAACATTTTTATCTGAAACAGAGAATAGGACATTTGAGCTCAAAATTAACTGAGATGTTTAAATCTAAAATGTATCCTGAAATCAAGATGCAATTAAGCTCTGAACTCCTTCAAATAGTCTGTCCATGTGAAGTTGCAAACTACCCACAGATACAAAAACAAAAGAAAGAAGGTCAGAGTTGAAGACACAGCCATGATCATCTTACATATAGTCAATCCTGATATTCATAGATTCCATACCTGCAAACTCACCTATATGATAAGATTAATTTGTCCCTAAAATCAACATTTGCTGTGATCTTACAGTCATTTGCAGACATGCACAGGGAGAGTGTTCACATTCCCAGCTGAGATCAAACAAGGCATCACTCTGCCTTCTTGCATAGCTCTCCTTTCAGTTCCTTTTCACAATCTATTCAGCGTCAAATCTTTTGCTTTCTGTTGGTAATTTTGTGTGGAAATGGTCCCTGAGATAGTGCTGACAAGTGGTCTAGTGTTCCTAAGTGCATGAAGGCTGTGACGTGGCTCACTGAGAAAATGTGTTAGATAAGCTGTGTTCAGGCATGAGATGTTTCCCGTTAGTTCAGTGTTAACGAATCAACACCATATATTAAATAAGATGTCATTTAAACAAGGTTATGTATTGATTAGCTGACAAGTGTTGTGACTAGGGGCTTGCAGGAACTTAATTCTGTATTTCTCCTAAAAACAACAGTCAGTATTCACTAAATCAGCATTCACAGTGAGCTGAAAGAATATTAACTACTGCACATCACAAAAAACAACTATCTGCATCCCATTTCCACTTTAATGTCATGATAGTGTCACTCATAGACTGTAAATCACTCCCAATATTTTGCAAATTGGAAAGGTAAACTAGTAAAACATATTTAAACAAAAAATTCACTGATCAAACACTATTTAAATTTGGCATGAAGTTTATTATGCTATTTTACCTTTATTAGTGCCAATAAATTTGAAAACAATAACATATTTTCATTTACTTCTATCTTTCATAAACTGTTTTTCTAGCACTTTGAAAATAACCTTACTGCCAATGTTTATAACAAATCTGAAGCCTAATTTACTGCTGTAAACCTAAACTTCTCCTCGACTGTTTTAAGAACTTTAAGTCCTTATAAGAGAAACAGTAAAGTATTTTGATATATGCAATTATGTTGTTTTTCAACATGCTTATTCTACTTGGCATTTTAAATATGTGATTAATTTCCTATTTTATATTTTATTAAAACATTTTGAACTATCATACACTGTAAAATCATAGCATAATTTTAAGCTACATTGTAAAGTCATAGCATTATAAAGGCACAGCAGAGTTGACAAAAACTTAGCCTTCAAGGTAGCCTATCAGAGTATTTAAAGGGTTTAAAAAAAAAGGATATACAAGAGTATTATTAAAAAAAAAATAAAAAACAAAAAAATTTTAAAGAGTATTATTGATAAATCTTCTACCATTAGTGATTTTATTCACAAAAACAAAAAATATTAGTACCAACGTGTCAGCATTTATAACATGTGATTTTAATTAAATAGATATTTTAAGTTGGACAACTTTAAATTGGTTTTGAGTAAACTACACTTACACAAAACAGCATAGCTTTCAGTACTAAAAAAATTATGAGCCTTCAAAAAGTTTAAGTGAACAAACAAAAAACGAAAACTAACTTAGCTTTAGAAAGATTTTCTTAAACTACTGGTTTAACTAAAAAGTAGAAATAATCAAGTGCTATGAATATAACTGCCAAGAAATCAAATAATATATTCTTTATTGAGTGTGTATTATTGAAATATATACTAACCACTTTCTGGAAATCCTATTTAGTTTCCCCCATCCCTTCAATGACTTGAAACAACGTAGTTTGTTTTGTTGAAACTTTACAGCTCTGCTGCTGCTGCTAAGTCGCTTCAATCGTGTCCGACTCTGTGTGACCCCATAGACGGCAGCCCACCAGGCTCCCCCGTCCCTGGGATTCTCCAGGCAAGAACACTGGAGTGGGTTGCCATTTCCTTCTCCAATGCATGAAAGTGAAAAGTGAAAGTGAAGTCGCTCAGTCGTGTCTGACTCTTAGAGACCCCATGGACCACAGCCTACCAGGCTCCCCCGTCCATGGGATGTTCCAGGCAAGAGTATTGGAGTGGGTTGCCATTGCCTTCTCCTACTAGTGGGTACTAAAACAGGGAAATTCCATATTTACTTCTAAATTTGGGTCAAAGGGAACAGAAAACTATACTTTTCAGTTATAATTTCTAAAACGCTTAAGAAAAAAATTAGCTGCAATTTACAAAAGACTTTACACTTTAGCAGTATTAGCTAGGGTCTTTATATAAAAACAATTATCAAGAAATAATTTTCATGGTTTCCTTTAATTGTTGCTCACTGCTTTGACAGATAATAAAAGAACTAATTATATAAAAGGACAAAGCCAATACATTTGTTATCGTATTCTCTAAGCACAACAGGTACAGTGTTCTTGTTTTTTTAATCAAATATCGACATTAATACACCACAGTTACCCAACTTTTCCACCTTCCATAGAATAAATACAAAACTATTTTACACTATAAATAGCTTGCTTCCAATAGAACGTTTAATAAGAATGGAATGTGCTTTGAGGCTTGTCAAGAAATTGAGCCTTTTAATGCAAAATAACAAAAGTAAGTTTTAATTCTTCAGTTACTATTTCAAAGTATTATCTTTAAAAGGAGACATATTTCAGAAACAAGTTATGAGTCTTAGCCTTCCCTAAGTTCATCCTACCAGCACACCAAGTACCAACTGATATAATCCTCCCTTACCTTAGACTCTATTTAGGCATTAAAATAGATCTATTAAAAACGAGGAGATTACATAAGTAAAATAGTAATTGGTGATGAGCACTTAAAGCTAAAAAACTGCACACAGATAGACAGATATATTTGGGGTGGGGAGTTAATTTCAAAAACATCCAAATGTGCCAACCGGTAACACAATCTCTTAAGGTAGTTAACATTTCCTGCCCAACAAGTTAAAGACTGTCAAAGAGCATTTTAAAGCATCTTAGTAGACCTCTCTGCTAATATTCTTGACTATTCCAGCTCTGTGATATTCTCAGACTTCTGTTTCACGATCTCTCATTTCTCTTTCCTCCTTCACTTACATCTCTCTCTCTTTTTTAATAAACCTATCTGTTAAATCTTGTTTCCCAATGTTCTGTTCTCAGCCTTTTTCTCTCATCATTCAATGTAAATCCACTGAGTCCTATGGCCGTATCTGTATAATGTGTACCATATATAATATACATAACACCCAGGCACACAAATTAGCAACTGAACAACAAAAAACCACCCACACATAGGTAGTAGCTCAGCTGGCAAATGCAGGAGACCCCGGTTTGATTCCTGGGCCAGGAAGATCTGCTGGAGAAGGGACAGGCTGCCCACTCCAGTATGCTTGGGCTTCCCTTCTGGCTCAGCTGGTAAAGAATCTGCCTGCAATGCAGGAGACCTGGGTTTGATCCCTGGGTTGGGAAGATCCCCGGGAGAAGGGAAAGGCTACTCACTCCATTATTCTGGCCTGGAGAATTCCAAGGACCATTCCATGGGGGTCACAAAGGGTCAGACACAACTGAGAGACTTTCACTTTCATATGTATACATGTGGAGAATCTGCCTGCAATGTGAGAAATCAGGTTCGATCCCTGGGTTGGAAAGATTCCCTGAAGAAGGAAATGACAACTCACTCCAGTATGCTAGCCTGGAGAATTCTATGAACAGATGACTCTGGCGGGCTACAGTCCATGAGGTCACAAAGAGTTGGATACAACTGAGTGACTTAATGCACAGGTACATACGTATACATATTTATAGACACACATACTTTAAATACTGAGGACTCCCCAGTCTCTCTGCCAAGTACCACCTGAATATTTCTAAAACAGAATTATGTATCTGCTCCTCTTCTAATATTTCCCGCCATACTTAGTGCTGCCTTAGTGAAGTTGTTGAAATAGAAATCTAACCAGGTAACTTTTTCTGCTTAAAACTCATTCATGTCTCTTCTGTTGTTTTCTAAATTATGTCTAGACTCTTGGGTAAAGCAGTTAAACCTCTTCAAGATCTGACTTCATTTTCCTTTCTTGTTTTTCTCCACATCACTCTAATTGCCTTCCTCCATCCAACCTATTACCCATCAAGTTCCTTGAGGATTCCTGAGTCAGTCATGCTCCTTCCATCATGTCTATTTTCATAAGCTCTTCATTCTGTCTGGAATGTTTTCCTCATTCTCCCTAATGTCTGTCAAACTCAACTCATGAGTCACTTCCTCTGTGAAGCTTTCCTAACCTCACTAGCAGTGCTTCCCAAATTTGTACTCTGACAGAGAACTACACATCCCTCTCTTAACTAAATTTATCTCATTTGTAATCACGTATCTCGTCTACATAATTATAGTATACTTTATCTTTTTTGTCCCCATGATTTAATCCCATACTTAAGACATAGCAAGTGCTCACTGCAACTTTGTTGGCTATATTAACTTTTCATGACAACAGTTCAAAGATTAAAACTGACAAATGGTAGAGTCTTGCTCTTTAATATAGATGGCTAAGTTGTCTAAACACTAGATTTTTTTTTGACAGATTTTTTAAGCAAATATAGACATGGGTTTTCAATTTAATGTAAACTTTTTGTACAAAATATAAAGCAACTAAAGTATCATTCTCTGGGCCAGTATTAAGTTTAGCTCGTGCAGGAACACACTGATTAGTATCATCTATGCAAATGAAAAATATAAATCTTATTACTGAAAAGGTGTGACTGCTGAGAAACAAAACCAAATTTAGTTAGAAAATAGTTTTCATGCTAGCAAGGTAGCCTATGACGACATCTTATCACTGTAAATGATTACACGTCCAAAAAGAAATTGCGAACTATAGAAACATTTTAATTAATGTTTTACTTTCCTAAATTCTTTCCAAAAATGGCCAACTTTTCAGCGACTCTGTTTGCGTCCAAGTCATTGTTAGTAGCACCAAAAAGCAGATCTCGATTAAGCAGAGCAGCGTTTGCACAGTATCACTCAGGCGGGAAAAATCCTGAAACACTTACCAGTTTAATAAACTGTACAGAGCAATGACAGCATCAAAAGGGAGGAAAAGTAAACTAGAAGTATAAGGTGACAAGTGAAAGGGGAAAAGAGCTGACAAAAAATAATCATTAGAAATTAAATTAAAAAAAAACAGAAAGATGCTAAAGATCCCAAAAAGAAAAATCAGAGGTAAAGACACATGAATATACCATCATAAAAGACTTTACTCCATTATATAAAAGTGTGGACAGAATGAGTAATATTAATTTGTACCTTAAAAGGTCTGCAAAAAGATATTAAATAAACTGTGGTTAATAATCAATTTATAGAATATACAAAATAAACTTGTTACCTTGATTTCTCTTTGTTCAACAGATTTTTCCCATATTTGTTGATCATATGCTCCAATCTATGAAAATAAAATAAAAACAGTACTACATTAAATGATCATTGTTGGAGCCCATCCAACAAATATAACTCTGGTGAATGACAAGTCACAAGTTATTCATTCAACACAGATTAGATCCCGCTCTGTCTCCTACTTCTGTACCCACACTGTACGGCAGTGGTTCTCAAAGAATGCCTGTACAACCAGCAGTTTTCGCACCATCTCAAAACTTGATAGAAATGCCAACTGTCTTCACCTCAGAATTACTGAATCAGAAATATGGATTCGATAATCAACAATCTGTTTTTACAATCCCTCGAGATGATTCTGATACACTACTGAAGTTTAAAAGCCTAGGGCAATGACCCTAGGGAATCTTTTATTTTAAACTAACATAATTGTTAAAGCCCTGGTACATTCAAGAAAAAACTCCCAAGTGACACACTCTGTATGGAGTTATTTTTAAAGAAAAAATATCAATGTTCTTTGGAAGTAAAAATTCGTAAGCAGGTAGACCACAATTACCCACTTAGAGTAAGGTTTAAGTTGGAAAATAAAGCAACTTAAGACACAGAGAAAGCATCAAGAAGCAGAATTCTTTGCAGCTTGTGCCTATTACTCTTACAAGCTGGAAAGTTCTCTGAATACACCTTTACTTGGGCAGGATGAACAAACCATTCTTACTGTTCCTAACCAAGTTCTTTTCTTTTGCCTCCTATTATCTCCAATTTCCACTCAATTTCCTATATTCAAGAGGATACTGAAATGGGTCAAAAGCCTATAGTTTAAACTGAGAGTTTTCATTATGAGCATTAATTGAAAATTAGAATTCTGAGAAATTAAAATTACTTCAGATAATTACAATTTAGAGACTGGAGGCAGTGACCAGAGACAGGCAAAGACATCAGTAAACTCAAGAAAGAGTACTTTCTGACTCACAAGATCTTTCTACCCACAAGTCCTCTTTTCTACCCATTCTTTTTAAAATCTCATTTCAAGAAATAACAAATTGATAAGCTGATAATGTTTTAAAGACAGACATAAAGGAGGTAAAAAAAAATTGTTAAATCATTTTTTAAAGGTGTGATTTTTACAAAGACTTTTTAAGGGCGTACATGCTTTTACACATTTTCTAGCAGAGAAAGAAATGCCCAGGCATTTAGTGTGTATCTGGGGCTGTTCTGTAAGTACCCTTCATTTCTGTTATTCTCTCCTACATAATAATCTTATTTATTCTAATTTCTCTGTTCCTTGAAATACTGTCCTTTTTCATCACTTTCCTGTGACTTTTTTCTTATTTTGAAAACCACTTTATGATATACTAATACCCTGCAAATTAAAATCCTTCAACATGTAAGCCAAGTCACACATACTTAACCGAAACTGCCATCAGTCTCTAGAAAGCATGATTAAGTCCTAGGTAAGCAATAACCAAATGGTTAGTCCTAATGGTAGTACTGAACTGAGATGACTAGCTTCCCCTTACTCTCTTAAACTCTGAATTCAATCAATCATCTTTCTTAAAATCATAAAAGGTAAGTATCAGAATGACTGGGCTAATTCAATCAACATTTGTTTTTTTAAAATATGTAACTATTTCAATGTACTGCGTACTCTTCAGTGAAACAATCACCAAAACCAATAAATAGTAGGTTTTGTTGTTATTGCTTAGTAACTAGTGAGTGAGTGCTGAAAGTCGCTCAGTCGTGTCTGACTCTTTGCGACCCCATGGACTGTATGTAGCCTGCCAGGCTCCTCTGTCCATGGGATTCTCCAGGCAAGAATACTAGAGTGGGTAGCCGTTCCCTTTTCCAGGGGATCTTCCCAACCCAAGGATCAAACCCAGGTCACCCACGCTGCAGGTGGATTCTTTACCAGCTGAGCCACCAGGGACATCCCAGTAGCTAAGTCACATAAAACTCTTTTGTACTATATGCCATGGCCCACCAGGGCCCTCTGCCCATGTGATTTCCCAGACACAGGTACCAATATGTTTAATAATTATTTTGGCAGTATTTTGTTTTCAGGTACAAAACAATGCACTAGGTTTTCTTTAAAAAGAACTGTAGTGGTTTTCTGGGTTTTTTTTAAGTAATCAATTTATTGGCTGTGCCATGCAGCATGAGAGATCTTAGTTCCCTGACTAGGGATGGATGTTAGTTCCCTGCAATGGAAGCATGGAGTCTGACCATGCTTAACTTGATCACAAGGGGATACAAGAACATCCAAGTGTTTTTATTTCAAGAATATGGAAATGGGAATATATACCCTACAGTTCTAAAGTCAGGGAAAATAAAATAATGCATGTACAACAGACCAAATAAAAAAAGCATGCCAGTACAACCCCAGTATGCTACTAAACGGCTCCAGATTTTAAAAGGTGTAGAAAGTCTAATAAACCTTGCAGAAGCAGTGGTTAAAAGTGGAAAAGTTTTTTGAAGGCTGAAATTCTTGCAAATAGCAGAATGATGATACAGAATATTGACTGCTATAAAAATATAAAAAAGAAAATGATGACTTGTTTTACTGGGTAATCAACTTTTCTTAAAGATTTCATGGATGACAGGAGGAACAACTTTTGCTGTAACAGAATACCTTGTGGGATTTTTTTTTTTTCAAACCAGGTTTAAGTGTCATTTTCAGTTACAAGCATTTAAATTTCTCCAAAGTGGAAACATCAGTTCTCTTTTGTTTAGTTTTCATTTTGTTTTGAAAATAATACCGGAGCAGACCCTTTAGTTACATAAGCAGACTGCCTAGTTTATTGAAGAAAACTGCGAGATAGAAGCCTTTAAAGCTAACCACAGGTGTTTCAGGAGATGCTCAGGGTTCTGTTTAGTGATATATAATGCTATTAACAAACTACCCTTAGGTATCAATTCAGACTTAATTGTCTCTGAAAACTGCATCCTGGAATACGTGTATAGGACCTCAGAAACATCATGAAATCAGGGTGGTAGCAGGGCACTAGAAGGGACAGGGAAGGAATTCAGAAGGGAAGACTCCTTTCTGACCTAAAGCCTCACTTCATTCCACCCTGAAATCTGGCAAGATAGAAGATTAGAACACATGCGGCTGGGGTCAAGCTTTTCCCTTGAAAGAAACATAATCTTACAGTCAATCGTAACAGAGCAAAAAGAGAAGTGAAACAAACTGAAGAGAAGAACGATCTTCTCAAGACTTAAGGTCATAGATAAAGAATACTTTGCAGAGCTGTGTATATATAAAAAAAAAAAACTTGACAAGTTTTCCAAAGGTTATATGCTATTTCTGACTCACACATACTACACAGACTTGACTAAATCACCTAACCTCGATAGCTGTTTCTCTTGTGTATTTATTTCTTCTACAAAAAATTAAATGCCAAGTTCAAATACAGTTCTGTGAAAAATCATGAAGACAATAACTACATTGTATTTTAACGTCATACAAAATATTAAGAGAAGTTCAGTAGTAACGTGTCTAACAGAGAAGGCATTTTAATCAGATAGTATGTTCTTTAACTGAGAAAAATATTATGTAATATTTTGGCCATTTTTAAATTTTAGCTACCAACTGCCTAACTGCTCTTCCCTGACCCACAAAATGCCTCCACTGTTTGGGTGTTTAGAAAAGTGCCTAATATTCTATAGGAACAAAAGGATATATATGCAAATAATGTTTTATTGGTAGACAAATACCTACATAATTAATGTATGAGTAGTTCCATGAATTTTGACCATATTCTCCATATGATGCTGTGCTTCAAGGAGGGAAAAACATTGCTTCTATTGTATTATAAGAGAGGACTCAAATTCTGATTAACATCTGATGTGCAGCCAATACTTTTATATACACGTTAAGAAAGTAACATTCATTCTCTGGTGCCTGGCTACAAATAGCAAATTTTATCAATGCTCTGATTATTCCTCCCACAGATGCCCCAAACACCTTAAGCCTCTAGCGTAATCTTACCCGACCAGAGCTAATCAGCAGTCAGTCTTTTTCACCAGGTCCCAGAAGACCAAACACTTTGCCCGCTATAGATGCATTCTGTATCTTCAACAACAGGTCTTTTAATCTTACATGGATCTTTTACAATACTCCCCATAATGACAGCAAGCATAACTCTAAATTTTCTCCTCACAGGCTTTAATTTTTAATTACTGAGAACACAACACTCCTGGAAGCAGTTTTAATCAATTATTTCAACTGCATCAAAGTCGTACAATGGAAATGTTAAGATTGGTTTAAAAAAACAATTAAAAAATAAAGAAAATATTCAAGGGACCAGTATCCTGAAAGTGGTTAAAAAAATAATTTTAAGGAAAAAATGAGAAAAGAAGTTGAGATACTATAATTTAGTAATATCAAGCACACTAAAATTGAACTAATAGATGCTTTATGACATTCTGAAGATCTACTTATAAAAGGCAAATGGATGGAGCTAATTAACAACATTAAACATGTATGTAAATATATATATATAGCAGACATTTCAAAAAGATACATAAAAACCATTAATAATATCTCTGGAAAGTACAGAAAAAAACAGCACTTTTATTTTCTGCTTTATATTCACTGATACTGTATCACTTCTTCTCCCTACAATGGATATGTATTATCTTTATAAAGCAGGAGTCTAACCCAGGTCTAGTGAACCACAAAGTAATCTGAATTGGTTATCTGAGAAACTAATATGTTTCTGTCAACGAATATTATCTTTGCAAGGAATCATCTGCCTCTACTTGTCATCATTCTAGTTTTTATTTTTCTATATACTGAGACAAAATGGAGAAGAGAAATAGAGGGGTGGGGCAAGGAGACGGAGAGGTGGGAGGGACAGTCAGGGATGAAGGGATAGAGAGGAATGAGAGGAGAGAATTGGTAGGTAAAAAAAAAAAAAGGACTGTCTTTGTCCAGGTGTCTGCCATTTGGCTCTGGCTTCTCCGGAAAAGAAATAATAATGAATATGAAGGTATCGAGAATACAAATACTAAAGACTACATAATTAAATGGTGAAGTGGGAAATATGTGTCAGT